GAAAATTACGAACCTACGGATAATTCGTGGGAACCAACAAGGAACATCAGCAAAGAACTGCTGGAGGAATATCGACGCCGCCATCCGCCAGCCATTGATCCCAAGATGCAGGGGAGTAGGCCAGTGGATCGGAGGAAGCGGGGGTCCCGGTCACAGACGAGGAGGCAGCGCTAACTGCCTGTTCCTCGGCCTCAACAGCATCACGCTTCTCAGCAGCCACACGTTCGGCCTCCTCTGCCGCATCAAGCTCGTCGAGGGTTTTCAAACCTCGCCGGAGCATATCTTTACCACGGGTTCGGATGAGGTGTTTCTGCTTCCGCAGACGAAGTAACTTCGAAAGGGTTTCTTCCTCTTCGCGATCCAGGCGATCCTCCTCCCGTTCGAGCTTCACCCAGTCGGGATGCTCAGGACCCATACAGTCACACTTTTCTTTCAAGTTGCGACGAACGCACTCGGCGCACCGCCGTGAATCATTTGGAGACGACACGCAAGTAATGTTTCGCCTCACGCAATTCGAGCAAGAATCCATTTCGGGTAGTTCGTATCCGTGGTTCTTTATTCGACGGACAAGATCGTTGCGTTCCTGGAGTTTGCGGGCAGTGTCAGTAGGCATGTTGCATGTTGAAGGACTCGCTGAGGAGCAGCAGAGTCCCGGGGACATGGACGTACTTATAGGATTCGAGACGAATGCCCAGGGGAAGGGAGCGAGTGTTACGACGGAACAAGAAGGCTGGCCAACTACAGGACAGGAAGGAGGGAGGTCGCATGAGACCGGCCCTGGTACCTGGAGGGGCAGCGGGGAATAGTAGTTCCGAAAGTATCACGTGACGGACTCGCAGGATGATGAGAAGAGTCCTAAGAGTCCAGGACTCCGAGGACTCGAGTGAGTTCCCAGGAGTCCACTAGGCACGTAATGGACTCGCAGGATGATGAGAAGAGTCCTAAGAGTCCAGGACTCCAAGGACTCGAGTGAGTTCCCAAGAGTCCACTAGGCACGACGCCACTATATAAGTAGATAGTATTTCCTTAGATAGGAGCTTCGTGCTCAACTCAATACAGTATTTGTTATATACTAGTAACGTGTTACTTGAAGCCTTTGTGTCTGATCCCCTGCCTCCTCTGATAAGTAAACCCTTACGCAAGAGAACCTCTGTGTCTTCTATCGTTTAGAAGTCAGCGTTACAGTCTGTTTGGTCTGCCGACAGTCTACCAGTCGACAGACCAAATAGACCGTCTGCTTTATTCTGAGATCGTGATTGGTGAAATCCCGTTACTGTGAACCAGGGCTTCACCGCCATTTCCTACATGTTAAATTCAAGGTCGGCTTCTTCTCTGGTCTTCAATCTTACTACTTCATTTACACCATTATGACTGATAACTCTCCACAACTCTCTGATGCGCAAAGCATTCTAGGGGGCTTATCTGACTTTGAGCTTGAACAGCTCTACTCATCCAACCCATCAGATGGATCATTCCACAGCACACCACATATACCGCCAGAGAGTTTACCTGATTCCAGCAGCCTAGCACTGACAGCTATAAGTCTGCCAGCTGGATTTCACTCTGCACCACCTGGGAAACGTCCAAATACCTCGTGGGTTTGGCAGCATGGCCAGGAGATCATCTGGGTCCATGATGACACACCATTCTGGTTATGCCAGTTGTGCTATAATAAGAGGGTTACAAAGACATACTCGTCAAGGACAACTACACATGCAATGAACCACATGATTCATTTCCACGGTAAATCCAAGGATGGTACATCTAGTTCTCGACCTCGATCTGTGCTTCAACAGCAGCGAGCTGCAGCTTATAGTGTAGTATCAACGATTGATTTCGCAAAATTTAAGACCTTATTACTGCGATGGATAGTGTGCACAAACGTCAGATTTTCAGAAGTAGAACACGAGCAGTTCCGTGAGCTACTAGTATACTGTAATGCAGTATTAGGAGATCTTTTACCACGTTCTCATAACACCATTCGAGGCTGGGTTATGAAAGAGTTTCAAACGCAAAAAACTCATGTCCAGACAATGTTTGCAAACTACGAAGGTCAAGTTCATCTAAGTTTTGACATGTGGACATCAACAAATTCCCTTGCTCTTCTTGGTATTGTGGGCCACTGGATTAACGGAACCACAACACAATCAGCTTTGCTAGGTTTGCAACGTTTACAAGGGCAGCACACTGGCGAGAATATGGCAGAAGCAGTACTGTCAGTTATTGATGAGTATTCACTACGGTCGAAGATTGGTTACTTTATGCTTGATAATGCATCTTCCAATGATGTTTGCGTATTATCCGTCTGCCAAAAGCTTGAGTTAGCTGATGGCTTGGTCAGTCAGCAAAAAGCTCAACGTTTACGCTGTACAGGGCATGTGCTAAACTTAGTCGTCAAAGCTTTTCTCTTTGGTACAGATGCAGAATCATTTGAAATCGATGTCTCATCAGTTATCAAACGAGCAGCGTGAACTTGAACTTTGGCGGCATAAAGGTCCAGTTGGTAAACTTCACAACACTGTTCACCATATACGCAGAACGCCCCAACAGCGAGAGGAGTTTTTCCGAATCCAACGGCAAGAAGGATTGGAAATTGAGCAGCTGATGGTTGTTGCGAATAATGCCACATGCTGGAATTCAACATACAGCATGATTGAGCGGGCTATGCGTTTGAAGGATTCAATAGATCTCTTTGCAGCAAGAAGTTTCGACAAAGACATAGCTCAAGATCAACTGACACGGGATGACTGGGATCAGCTTACACGTATTCTAGCTTTATTGAAACCATTCAAAGAGTTAACACTGCGCATGGAAAGCCAAGCCAAGGATGGAAAACGTGGATCAATATGGGAGATTCTACCCTCGATGGAGATTCTGCTGCATCATCTTGAAGCCGCAAAACAAGATTATGAACACTTAGGTTACGATCACATTACGGTTTGCATCAATAACGCCTGGAAATTACTCGACAGATATTACAATCTCACAGAAACATCACCAGTATATGTAGCAGCGGTTGTCCTAAATCCACAGCTTAAATGGAGCTTTCTTGAGCAACTTTGGGAGCACTGCTCTGATTGGATATCTGGGGCTCATAAAGCTGTCAAGCATCTTTGGACTACAATTTATAAAGACCGCAATCCCAAATTGGCTGGGACAAGCAGGGAGACACGTGTTACAGTCCCAGACATGGATATACTCGAGCAGTTTTTATCCCAGCGATCAGACTGTAGACCGCTGGCTCAGCTACTGGCAGACGAGTATGAGGATTACTGCTACATCAAACCAGAAGCTCGTGTTAGCAATATCATCCAATGGTGGAATGACCATTCTACTCTGTATCCAGCATTGTCGAGAATGGTGCTAGATATCTTGTCAATACCAGCCATGTCAGCAGAAGTTGAGCAGGTGTTCAGCAGTGCTAAACTGCTAATCTCAGACGCTCGAAACAGACTCAAAGAAGATATTATTGAGGCATGTGAATGTCTCAAGTCATTGAATACTGCCGGCATGTATCGTAGCTACAATTAGACTTCAATCTATTCATTCAAATCACATCCAATTCCCACCCCTTGGCAGACCGTCTATTTGGTCTATTTGGTCTGCAGACCAAGGCAGACCGACTAGACCAGATCTCAAAATTAGCCAGACCGACCGACTGGGACCCTTTGTTCTGGTCGGTCGGTCTATTGACAACACTATACCAAAGGGCCTAATGCGAGGATCCTAAGCTTATTTATAGCTTTTTTAGTTGTACGGAATACAATTGCAAAGTATGGCATTGTAGAGTTAGACATTTACAATTTCGATGAAACTAGGTTTATGATAGGGGTTATCTCTACAGGCACTGTGGTTACAACATCTAAAAGACATGGTAGAGCGAAAATGGCACAGCCTAGAGGTCGGGAATGGGTTATAGTAATTCAAGGTGTTAGTTCAATAGGATGGTGCATCCTACCATTTATTGTTGTTGTAGGTAAATTTCACCTTGCATCATGGTATCAAGATGATACAATACCTCGCAATTAGGTTATTGCAACATGTCAAAATGGTTAGACAACAAACGAGATAGGGCTTTAATGGATTTAGCATTTCAATAAGCATACAAAATCTCGAACTTCTAGTGCATATGGCCTCCTTGTGTTAGACGGTCATGAAAGTCACCAGTCAGTGGATTTTGAGCTTTACTACAAGGATAACAACATTACCACACTATGTATGCCGCCTCATTCGTCTCCTATACTTATGTTACGATGGTCACAGAGGTCATGATGCCAGTCTAGGTAAAGTAAACTAAAGAGAGAAGAAGAAGAAAGGAAGGAAGTAGGTGAGGCTATTCCTCATTATATGCAGCTGTGCGCTTAGCGATCCCTTGTAACTATGGTGGCTACTATAGCTGCCATTTCCCATAGTTGCTAGTGGCTGTGATCTGCGATCGTAACATACTCCAGCCTCTTGACGTTGGCTGTTTTGGTCCACTTAAACAAGCATATGGGCGACAAATTGAGAATTTATGCGTGCTAATACTACATACATTACAAAGGATGGCTTTATTCTAGCATTTGCTATATTTGAAGGACAAGCCAGTGTCGACTAAAGGGATGTGAATAGGCAAGTAGTAGAGGAAGCACGCTAGGGTGCGGGTCGTGCAAAGAGGACTGAACTGAGGGAACGGCGATGTGGAACATGTGGCAACATAGAGCACAATGCACGAACGTGTACTATGCCTATAGAAGTGCCTACAGACGATGATTTTATGGTATGTAGTTGATATTCTGGTGTTGTAGTTGATTTTATTAGCATTTTGTCGCTTGAGTGTTTCGCTCGCGTATGGACCACGTTATTGATATTTCAATAAGAAAAATATAATAACACCCCCTTATTTCCTTACCTTATTTCCTTACCTTAAAAATACATGTAGTTCGTCTCATCGCCGTATAAGATGAATCACACTGATAATAACCTGCAAAAGTCAGCACACTACCACCCTCTCAAAAAGCTTACCTCAAAAACCACCTCGCCAACCTCTCCAAAGCCCTCCTAAACGTCCCCCCCCTCTCCGGAATCCTCACCCTCTCTCTCCTCACACACTCTCTCCTCATACTCTCCCTCCTCACAGTCTCCCTCGTACTCATCCTCTCCCTCCTCACCCTCTCCAGCTGCTCCCCCTCCTCACTCTGGTCCCCATACGGATGCCCAAACTCCGTAGTGCATCCAGGACACAACTTCCCATCCCTCTTATACGTGAACCGCTTGTAGGGACATTCGAGCTGGGATCTCCAGCGCTGGCTGGCGTAGTTGTTGAGGAAGTGCTGGCAGGGGCGGGTGGCGGGGGTGAGGGTTTTGTGGTGGCAGAGGTGGGAGGTTGAGAGGATGAGGCACATGGTGTCGGTGGTCGTGGTGGCGGTGGTTGAGTTGTGATGGATGTGGTCGTTGTGGTCGTTGTTGTTGGTAGTTGGTGGTGGAGTTGTGATGCATGTGGTTGTGTCGGCGTGAGTGAGGAATTGTTGTATGAGGAATGGGAGTCTGGAGGAAGGAAAAGAGGGGGTTATTATACTGAAGATAGTGATGGAAGGTTAATTTGGGAGGCGTTTGAAAATGAGACTCCATTGTAGACTTGTTTCGACAATAGACTCTGTTGTGGCAATAGTGAAAGATGGCGAGGAAGCTTGTTATTCATATAAAATATGAATAACACAAAGGAATAACACAAAGGGAACTCGGGTTCTCAAGAAACCCAGGAGCAGGGGAAACTCGGCCAAAAACAGCTGCCCATCCCCATCTCCATCCCACCCCGACCCGACCTACCTTTATAAGTCAACTTTAGCAATCTTTAAATCAAGCGGCACAGTGGCGCAGTGGAAGAACCACTGTCGACAATCTGGCCAGGGCAAGGAGATGAATAAAGAAGGTCACCAATTCGACTCCCGACAACAACAAACAAACGACAAATCATAATCAATAAATAAAATATCTCTTCTCACAAACATCAAAAAGTAAAATCAAGTGATTTTCTCCTCATCAGATCCAAAGAGATCTGATGAGTCTTTTGCTTTTTTAGCCTTTTGACCTTTTGACCTCTTGATGTTTTGTATGTAGCTATACACACGCGGCCTTCTTCTTTCTTTTGTTCATCTATTGCTTCGCCTTGATCTTTGTGATTGGTAGAGAGGTAAACCTTCATTTTGGGCCAGGTGTGGCGGACGTCACTCACTATCCGCAGACTGGTCCGAGAGCACAAAGAAGATTCTGATACAATGTCTGTGTCGGGCACTGTCTGCCACGGAGCATAAAGAATGGGTTGACTGACACAAAGTCTTTATAAGATACCATTCACAAGTTGCAGACTTCCGCATGAATAAGGGACCATATGACTTCTCTAACATTCCTGAACAGGACCACTATCCTCAAAGACAAAACGACATTGTTCGAACAGGACTACTATCAACACCAAGGACAAAACAACATACTGAAACCAAACCTACCTATCTATTCATCCATCTCTCCTGCGGCGCTGCATAAATACACCTCCTTCCCACCACCATGGTATCTTCCTCTCCAGAAACCCCTATCCACCCGCATTATCCTTGCACCTGCTGACAACAACCACAGATCCCCACAACCAACACCACCGCAACAATGTGCAACAAACCCACAACCACCTATTCCTGCGGGCACACCAAAACCACGCTGCTACACTGCCCTCTCCACGACCCCCAAGACGCCGGCCCTTTCAACACCCCCTCGACGTGTCGGCGCTTGAAGGAGAGTATTGGTGGGAGAGAAAGAGAGTGTTGGAGCTTGGTAGGTCTCAGAGTATGAATATCAATATTCTAATGGAATAGTCCCTACGGTTGTTTGCTCATGTGTTTGCTCACACTGTGACGTTGCTATGATGTGAATGGAAGGTACGTCTTGAATGTTCCTGCCACTTGAAGTGTATGGTACGTCTTGATCGCTCCTTCCGCTGCTTATGAATTGCGCCGTCTCAAACCCTGAACTGTTGACCAGACAGACAGTCACATCCCCATCACTTACCATGTCAGCGATACGAGTCTCGACTCTCCATCGACCCCTATTCGCCAGTCCCAGCCAACCTGCGCCGACCTGCCTCTTCTGCCTCTTCTTTGGCTTCTTCGGCTTCTTCTACAGTTACATCCTCCCACTCATCACCCTCTGCATGGACCCGGTGATGGCCGCTGCGTCGTGATGCAATATGTTGCGATCCGCCCAGCCTCGCCGAGCATTCCTGCTGTCACCTCTGAGATCCTCAAGAGGGAGGTGGTCGCTCGGGATTGTGGCTGACAAACGATTTCACGTGACTTCGCGTCTCCAAATTCCTCCAATTTCTCCAATTTGGCTGGTGAAAATCGGATTTTCCTATTGTGGCTCAAGGGGCTCAACGTTAGACCTTGCTTATCCGTCGACATTGCTCAAAATGGACATATCGCTGGACAAAAATCATTTATATAAAAATACTGACCTAGTAAATAGATATACTACCCTTGCACTCACCATACGGCCATGAATGCGTCCTTTCACCCCAAGATCTCGTCTTCTTCCATCATTCCCCATCATCCCCATATCATTTTACGATCTCACCCAATTATGAGATCGGCGGTGGCAGGTGGAACCCACGGCATCGATTCAGTCGGATGGTTACGGCCTATCCAGCTACTTACCCCAGGTTTCGCAGATTTCTCGGCCACATTTCTTCTCGCGTATGGAAAGAATTTTCTTGAGTTCCCACTGCCATGTTCCATAATGTAAGTAGCTCCCCTACTCTGGTACGCCAGGGTCTTGCGAACGATCACGACATCGACGCTACTCTTCATGGCCCGCGCCGTCGTGGCTGTTTGGCGATATTGAGTAACTAGGTAAAAAGGGTCGCGACTCGCTCGTTTTTCTTTCTTGACCTCTCTCTCCCTTAACTCTCTTTCTTGATCTTCTGTTCATCTCTTCCTGCTCTTGTCATCTATTGTTTATATGATGGCCTGAAGGGGATAAAATTTTCGCCAAGTTTTTGTATTATATTCCCGCCCCCTTTAACGAGGCTTGACCCATAGCTCGTGGCGACAGTGCTAGGCGATACACGTGACGCTACCCCCGTTACGACGATGGCTTCGTTTATCAGGAAGTTCTCAGGAGGGTCCATTGACAAGAAGGACCCTGTGTCGAGTACCAGCGTCGACTCCAAGACTAACCTCTCTGGCGAGGTTATTGCTGAAGGTAAGATAGTGTAACGAGGAGCCCCCCTCCTCCACCCCCCCCCCATCCCCACTCGGCTTGGCCACAAGCTAACCTTCCCCCAGAACAAGGCGAAGCCTACATCACTAGTGAGGACCGCCGCAATGTCGGCCGCGTCTCTGCCGCCTTCCTGGTGTTCAACCGCATGATAGGAACCGGTATCTTCGCCACCCCCTCCTCCATCTTCGCGCAGTCCGGCTCCGTCGGCCTCGCCCTCTTCATCTGGGTCGCGGGCATGATCATCGCCGGCGCTGGCCTGGCTGTCTACCTTGAATTCGGCACGGGGCTGCCGCGCAACGGCGGCGAGAAGAACTACCTCGAGTATGTCTTCCGCAAGCCAAAGTTCCTGGCCACGGCCATGTACGCTTCATACGTCGTCCTACTGGGTTGGGCCGGCTCCAACTCCGTCGTCTTCGGCGAGTACATCCTGCACGCCGCCAACGTTGAGGTGAACCGCTGGAACCAGCGCGGCGTCGGACTTATCTGCATCACCACGGCCTTCCTCATCCACGGCTTCGCCCTGAACTGGGGTTTGCGTCTGCAGAACGTCCTCGGCGTAATCAAGCTACTCATCCTCCTCCTCATCGTCTTCTCCGGCTTCGCCGCCCTGGGCGGCCACCTCCAGCCCGGCGTCGAGAAGCCCGACAACTTCACGAACGCCTTCGCCGGCACCACCGGCTCGGCCTACGGCGTCGTGTCCGCCCTCTACAACGTCATATGGTCCTACATCGGCTATAGCAACGCCAACTACGCCCTCGCCGAGACCAAGAACCCGGTGCGCACCCTCAAGGTCGCCGCGCCCCTCGCCCTCGGCGCCGTAGCAATCCTCTACATGCTCGCCAACATCGCCTACTTCGCCGCCGTTCCCCGCGAAGAGATTCTCTCCTCCGGCCGCATCCTCGCCGCCTCGTTCTTCAGGAACATGTTTGGCCCCGAAGCCGAGCGCGCGCTCTCCGTCTTCGTCGCGCTGTCGGCGTTTGGCAACGTGCTTTCCGTCATCTTCTCCCAGGGCCGATTGGTCCAAGAGATCGGTCGCGAGGGTATCTTGCCATTCTCCCACTTCTGGGCTAGCAACGCCCCCTTCAACACACCCCTGGTCGGCCTCGCAGAGCACTGGCTCGTCTCAGTCACCATCATGCTTGCGCCCCCACCAGGAGACGCATACAACTTCATCCTAAACGTCATCTCCTACCCCCTCGCCGTCGTCAATGTCTTCGTCGCCGGCGCCCTAGTACACCTCTACCTCCACCCCTCCGCTGACCACAGACCCACCTGGTCGCCACCCTTCCGCGCCACGCTGCCGGTGGTTATCTTCTTCCTGCTGTCGAATATCTATCTCGTTGTCGCGCCGTTCGTGCCGCCGGATGAGGGACAGAGCATTTATAAGGATATCCCGTATTACCTGCATTGTCTGGTTGGGATTGCGATTTTGCTTGCTGGAGCGCTGTACTGGGTCGTTTGGTCTGTGATTATGCCTAAGTTGGGTGGGTATGAGCTTGATAGAGAGGTGGATGTTGATGCGCATGGGTGGAGTAGGGGGAAGTTTGTGAGGAGGAAGATTGAGTAGGGGAGCGGTATCCATGGGCTTGGCGTTTTTGGGACTATTTCCGGGATGGGCTTTTGGGCTGTCCTTGGGTATGGGATAGGTGGATATAATGGGACATATTAGACTACACGGAACTTCTTATTTTGAAATTTATATACCCCTCTGAACCACTATCACTTCTACCACTGCTATCTGTCTCGCATCCCCCATATGTGATACTACCAGCCAACCACCAACACAACCCGAGCGCACATAACGGAAAGAGCATCCAACTCGCTCCTTCCACAGCAGCTCTCTCGAAGTCACAAGGCGAAAGGTGGATACAAGGGAAGGCACAACCCACACCCACCTCCCAACGTTCCTTCCTTTCAGCTCCAGCAACTATCCCAGACACCCGGAACGGAAAGTCCATCTCACCCGCTCCTTCTTCAACAGCTCCCTTGTAGCCACCATGCTAAAAGCGAATACAGGGGAAGCCACGACTCTATCCCACCCCCCAACGTTCCTTCCGCTGCAGCTTCACTAACGCAGGGAAAACTACGAGGCAGGAAGGGAAGTCACGACCCACACTACCGCCACCGTTCCTTCCTTTGACTCTGGCAACGCGACTTGAATATCTAGAATGGAAACTGCGTCCCGCGCCGTTCCTTCCGCAACAGCTCTTATCGGGCCGTCAGGCGAAAGCTCAGTAATGGAAGCGACGACTCACTTTTATGTCCCACCTTTCCTTCCATAGCTGCTATATTAACTCGGGGGAGATTTCATTCGGCACTATATAGTTTCAGGCAACCCATCGCTCCCGATCCAGTCCCAGCCAGGCCTTTGGGTGAGAACAATGGGGAGTTTCGGACAATAGCTGCGTGTCAAAGGGGCTGATAGTGACGTTTTTGCCAGGGGACAATAGACTCTATTCTTTCTTTGTCTTAGAGGATAAGGAGACCTTGTCCTTTATCCAGGCTCTGAAAGGCCCACTTATTTGATAGTTTCTTTGCCTAGCTGTACCTCGATTTGTATCAGAAGAGAAGTCTCATCTACCAACTCTTTATTTTTAGATAGAGGGATTTGCTTTGGGGGTTCTTGAGTTTTGAAATTCCCAATTGTTTTATGAGGAACCATCACCCCGATAGTTAATTACAAGCTTTCATGAAAGTTGAATTCTCATTCCGATCTTCCAGGCCTTCTATGTGAAGGCAGAGACACAGCTAAGAGGGGGTCCCTCTTCTCCCTCTTCTCCCTCTTCTCCTCTCTACTCGCCGTCTAATAGCATTCTCTTACTTCACCGGGGGCTTTGCTTCCAATGGTCTGTTGTTAACTGTTCGTTTCGTTGGTTCTTAGTTTCGTTGACTCTAACCCTAACCGTCGTTGTTCTTGCTGTCGTTGATTCTTGCTGTCGTTGACTCTTGTTATCGTTGACTCTAGCTGTCATTGACTCTTGTTATCGTTGACTCTAGCTGTCGTTGACTCTTGCTGTTGTTAGCCTGTGCTGTCGTTTGATTCTTGCCGTCGTCGACTGACTCTTGTCGGTGCGCCACTCGTATCCAAGTTTCGGCAATAAAAGCCTCACACCGACCTTTGCGTGTCCAATGGTTCATTTCCACCATGTTGTTCGTCGTGGCAATGCTCATCGGGCTGTGTTATAACCATGGATTGGGCAAGCAGTCTGGACGGGCGCTGCGAGACCCATATATAGTAGTGCTTGTGTCTGACTTCTCTCAAGTTGGCTATTTGGGGGGAGGCCGATGAGGGCGATGATAAGCCTTCTTCGGCCTCCATATCAAAGGAAGACATACGCATCTATAGACACCCAATGCATATATTACCCCCAGTAGTAACTATCGCAGCTTCATCTCTGCATCTCTGATATTATCTTATAGTACAATGACCTAGTAGTATATGCCTCCCTCCCCCACCCCACTCCTGCCCTTCAGCCCCAAAGAACCCCTCTACCCCCACTTAATGCACACACACAAAGACGAAGCCCAATGCCATCCATCCATCACCCCCTCAGTCCCCGCTCCACATCGCTCTCCTCCAATTTCAACGCCAGATATATTTACAACGTACATATATAGCCCTCCCACTTTGCGCTCTCAAGAAAAAAATAAGAAGTCCGGTAATTAACAACCCGCCCGGCGCGCCACCTATGCATGCAAGTTAAAATAAAACGCCTTTTTAACGAATCATTGAGTTCAGTGACTCAAGACTTCCGTCCGCTCGCTCTGCAGCAGTCCCTCCATCTCGCTACCATTGCTGTCGCCCTCAGCGTCGTTGCCTGACTTATCATGCGTCCCGTTCACCATATTACCATCGCCCATCTTACACTCCGCGCCCTCAACTCCAAGTACCATAGCTTGCTGCATCTCCTCCTCTCTCACTGCAGCCTCGTTCTCTCGCTCGAGTGCTTCTTGAGCGGCTCGCATCTCTGCTGCTGCTGGGTCTTCCTCTTCTATCTGGTCTGGTACCTGCGCATCTGCTGGTGGAGGCGGAGGGGGTGGAGGCGGGCCGGGGGAAGCGTCGACTGCGGTGCCATCGGCCTTGAACCGTTTGGCGAAGGCGTCGTCGGTATCGGCGGGTGTGTGTTGGGCTTCTTCGTCGCGCTTGCGCTTTAATGTGTCGTCGCCTGAGCTTTCGCCTACGGGGGTGCCTGGGACGGATTGCCGATGTAGCTCGTCATCCGACATGTCGACATCAGTCATGGCCGCCTTATCCTCAGCATCTGCGTCTAGCGGAGTGCTGGTATCCGCCGTAGCTGGGGTATCGATGTCATTTGAAACGACGCTGGCGGGAGTCTGGCCGTTCTTGAGAGCCTCAGCTGCTTTCTTCTCGGCCTTCTTCTTCTCATACGCAACCCTTTTCGCGACGGCCTTCTCGAAGTAGTCGCGGACGCTCTTCTTCACTTTCTTCTCGTGGTACTCGGTGATCTTGGTCGGGTCCTCAACGCGCTTGTGCTTGAAATCAGAAGCGGTGAGGATCTTCCCGATTTCCTTGGCGAAGCGCTTCAGTTCTTCCTTGGGAAGCTTTTTGCGGTACTTATCCATGACGTACTTAATATGAGGAGAAAGCTGTATACATGTAAGTGGGTTGTGATTAGATGTAGGGAGGGTGCGCTCTTACAGTATTCTCATATATCTTCATCTGCTTCTCCTCAGGCAACGAGCGCCACTTCTCAGCCCTCTTCTTCTCTTTCAACTCTGCCTCGGACATCTTTGGCGTTGCCACTGGCTTAGCCTGGTCGCCCTTCGTGACAGAGTCAATAATATCCTGAAGCCGCTTTTGGTCTTGAATAGCTTTTGCAATGTTCTTCTTTGGTGCTGGGGCGTCGTTTGCAGGGAGAGTGGGCCGTTGCCACGTTGTTTGACCGCCGCGACTATAATAATATGTGTTCCCTGCCGGATCAAGCGTTGCAAACCACCCTGCAGGTAACGGCGCTCTCCGCGGCATGGATGGTCTTGGTTGGAAGGGCCGTGCAGAACCTCGTGGTGTGGCGGTGGAGTTTCTGGGCCCAGTGGGCGTTGCTGCGGTTGGATTCGGTGTATGTGAGGGCTCGACCTCGCGATCACCACCTCGACGAGCGTCAAACTGGTTTACGGCTTGAGCAGTTGGATCGAACTTCTTCCTTGGAATGCGATAAGCAACTTCTAGCTTGCTCCACACCTCCATCAATCGCAGCGATTCTGACGCAATATCCTCATGCTCCGACTTAGTCAGGGGTTCGACCACCTGCTCAATTTTCGAGTCGACAATCTTGTTTCTGGTGAGGCGCGGCAGCTGGTATAGGATGTCCAGAACTTGGAGGATGATGTTATTATCCTCTTTCCAAGTCTCCAAGCATATTCGCATTATACGATAACCGTGAAATTGGACCACCTTTTGTCGGATTCGCTCGTCTCCACACCGTTGTATTCGATTAAGCAACTTGACCGCAATCCACTTCTCTGTGCCTTGCATAAGCGTAGCCATGACCTTCGTAACGCCATTCTCATCAAGCCCCTTTGGCTGAACATTATTAACATATTCCTCGTCGTCTTCTCCCGACTTCTTCTTCCGAGGTTTCTTGGCAACTGCAACATCCCATCCATCGCCGTCGTCAATTCCAAGAGCCTCAATAGTAGTATGTGAGAGTTTCGTAGCCCGTTCAGTCTGAGTCTTGCCACCCAAAAAGCCAGTGCAGTTTGGCTCTGCGCAATAACATGGTTGCGGATCTGCGCCGTATCGGTCAACGTTGTAGTTGAAAACGAGCTCCTCGCCAACTTTGATGTTCCGCTCGGCAAATATGCCCATGCGGAGTTTATCGCCTACCACCCACTTATCAACGTAGCAATTGGGGTTACATGAGTGATTGCAGAACCGACCCAGGTTTCCCTTTATTGTCGCGTCGACAAACTCTGATTTGCTGAGGGACATGAAATAGAAATGCTTGATGCCTTCCTCATCGTACTGCCTCATCCGTCGTCGCAGCGTCGGTTCGTTGACAACTTCCCCGATGTACTCAAAAATAAAATCATGCGCGGAGAGATCTGTGTCAGCGCGTAGCCCATAGCCCTTCTTCTCCGTCTTGATGACGGAAACCTTGGAAAACTCCTTGCGCTGAAAGCGCTGGTTCTGGCAGTTAGGACCACAGTTACACTCATCGTCCATGCATTCAATCTTTGTAAGGCGATTGATGCAGTCCGTATCTTCCCCACATGCGTGATTCTTGCCATCGCCTGTACATGAGTTAGTAGGGAAGTAAGGCCACGTTGTGAAGTCAGGGTCAACTTACGCCAGTCTTCAGAGCAGTCGCAGCCCAGGGCCTCATGGTCAGCCGAACCCATATACTTCGACCCGTAGATGCAGTCCTGGATGACTTGAAATTTCGTTACGCATTCGGGAGTAGCATCTTCGAGATGATCAAATAACGGCGGGGGCCTAAAAACGACCTTTTGAGAGGCCTTTCTCGACAGTTTAGGTGCTTTCCCGGGCTCCTTAACCACTACGATATCTCCCTCGACCACCTCCGTATTGACCTCATCATCAGACGTCGGCGTTTCAGATTTGGTCTCCATATCTTCAGGCGTAGGTGACCGCGATTGTTTCGGTGTTGGTGTTGCTGATGGTTGTGGGTTGTCGTCTGTATTTGACGGTGGTGTAGCAAGTTTTGCCTCCGGCGCGGAGTCCTCCTCAGCCAACTTCATATCGCCGAGCGCAGCATCGACCGCCTCGGTCCTGGGAGTGATTTCTTGGTCCGACATTATGAATTCGCGAGCAATTCACTGGTGCGTCTCCTTTATCTCCTGGTCGGACTCGGTGGGTGGCTGATTGTAGGCCAGGGCGGCGAGGCTCTACGGCCTTGGGCGACAGCGGCGCGCAGTTCTGGCGCATGCAGGTTCCAAGAGCAAGGTGTAAAACAGTAGCCAACAAAGCTGGTGGGCAAGTCGGCGGCTCGTGGCGTGGCAAGTGGTGGAAGCAGAGGTGCAGCCTTATCGACTCGCGTTCGGCGCTGGATCAAAATTTGAACCGGGACGCAATCTGGCCAGGGTTCGTCTAGTGGTGGTATAACAAAGCGACCGTGATTGAGAAGTCATGTATACAACTCTCCGCAGTTGCATATGTCGTGGAGTATAGAGGTAACAAGCACAGCTCGAATGGGGGAGTAGGGTTGCGGGTCAAATGTCGACTTTTGGATGCCCGCTGCACAGATAGTTCCTCCCCCCGTATTATCAAGATCCAGTTATGGTCGCTGGGCGTCGTGATTACAGTGATTGCATGTCCGTGTTCCCACAATAATCACTATGTTTTGTACAAGTTGAGATTTTCCCAGCAGTATTGAATTGCTATCTGCAAAGAAGAGGAGTAGAATATGAAATGGAGGTTCTGAATGGGAACATTAACTGGCACGTCTCGGCAAATGCCGCCAACACGCGCCGATGGCCAGATTCTGGCCGTGCCTGGTAATTCCGAGGTGCCTGAGCAAAATCTTTCCCAACCGTGTGTGAACGCGCACAATTTCCCGAAGGCATTTGTGTAATATGCCGATTTGGATCATATATATCACCTTCCTCCTCCCATCCACCTTCCGTGACTGCCACTCCTTTTCATTGGGCCAAAGGAGAAACGGTTAAAGGAAAAAATCCCTTTATTGTATTGTTTGTACTTACTATTAGTGATGCCAGGTGCTTAATCAGAGAGAACCCTGCCTCGTTCCTCGTTGCACCACATCTTTGCGCCTGGGCATTCTTCGTGGGCCAACGTTGTGGCATCTCCAGCCATTCTCAGTGATTGACTACTGGACTTGGCAAGCCCTAATAACTGAGCACGAACATGGCATGTTTCAGTCGCTTTGAGGGACTGGAAGAGGAGATTCCACACTGGAGGTTCCATATCCATATCAGCGGGTGACTATAATATCAGCAAGATGAAGTTGGGGCTTGCGTTTAAGAACTGTGACTGTTAAAACTGTGATATGAGTGTTACACCCTGACTTGACTCGGCGGACAACAGTATATTGGCATCCTTCTATGCGGAAGGCAGATTGGGAATTGGCAGCTATCGAATCCCAGGTATCCATCTGGAGAGTGAATATTTCGGCGGGTATCCGCAGCGTGAGTGTTGTGCAAGGTATAGAGTCGATCGTCGCATTTTACCAGCGACTAAATTCGAATTGGCGGTGGCCGCTTCGATGCATCACATCAACAAGTCTTGTCTGTATAGCCAGGTTCCCGTGTATCCCTTGGCCTCGGACACAACGTTGATCTAAGAGCGGTAGATGTGGATAGATGGACGGTGTAATAACCAGAGGATTTCCGCGGTATAGCCAGCGTTGCAAGTTGCATAGATTGTAGTGGCTATGAGCCGATGCGTTCCGGCCTTGCCAACACACGATGCGGCACTGGCGTATGATAAAACTGGCAGTCGGGCATGGCCATCGGTCGCTATAAAACCGGGACGAGCTCCCGAAATCTCTGATACTTCACATCTTGGTTCGAAAGCGATTGCTCGAGCGAGTCGCGATCGGAACGATTCGAAACATGGCGGCCATTTCACTGGTGGCCATCGACTCGGCGACCCATACGGCACAGTTTAGATGCAGGCCGAGTCATACGACAACGGCGCTACGACGGCGCAATTGAAAGAACGAAAATGCGACGACCCTTGACATTAAGGGCTGGTAGGGCCGAGAAACGTCGAGGTTGATTGAGGCTCAGGGTGGAACCGCCTCCAGAAGAGATCGAAGAGATGGAAGAGATCGATCGTTGCCGGTTCGCCACGGGCATCGATGCAACGAGACTGCGACAATCACACCAATGTGACGAACCGGCGGGCTTTTTGCTTGGCAAAGCTGTCAGGTCAGTGGGTGTGTTGGTTCGGTGGAGGGGCGTGAGTTGAAGGAAGGCTGAGAGGATGACCTTTCCTCATAGTCGAGGCGTCTCAGTTTCTCATAATTCCCTCATTTTTGTTCAGACGGAACGTTGTTGTTATTAACCTGGCGCATAGTTGTCCCTAGATTCCCAATCCGTCTTCACTTCGGCTAGTTGATTCATAGCTACAGGCGCATATGCAGCTTGTAACTTATGCACGCTTCTAATCTCCAGGAGACGACCGATTTAAATTGCGACAAGCCGCAAATCCTGGGACACAAATTGAATGGGTATTGGCCACATAAGTTATTGCCGGCTATTTGTTTCAATTGTTTATTTGCTGTTGGTTATCTGGCCATAAACGCACTAGGACCCGGCCTGATCCTGATGAGGAGGAGTGAGAAACACGAGAGACGCGACATTTATAGGGAAGCACTTCATTCCCCCCTTCACCCGCTTCAAACTCCAGGCTCCTCTTCTTCTTAATATTCCCCATTCACCAAGCTTCTTCACAAATTCATTTTACTGCCTCTAATATATTTGACCCCCCTTTACCTCTGCAATCCCTGGTTTCCTTCTGTCTGCGTCTATCCGATCTACCTATACCCCCCACCACCACCACCAACACGCAGCCTTCGCTATATCTGGACGACCACTCCTTACCTTCCGCAACAAACAACCTCTTCAATTCTTTTTCGCCAACTTCACAATACACATCATGGCTGTGGGACCGTTCTCAGAATACGAGCAGGTACGCAAACAATGTCTGACAGTTCATATCCGCAAGGCGTAGGGGTGCATATGCTTGGACTCCTGCGCCTCGTGGTATTGCTGATGAATTCCACCCGGCGCGATTAATACTGACTGTGTACTCTGTAGCGCTTCCTGCTCACCGAAATCCTCAAGACATCGAACACCCCCATCGACGCGCTCTTGAGCGTACTCAGAGAGCAGAACTTTGATCCGATCTGGGAGGATGTTGGTCTACCTGCTGGTAAGCTTGCGCCGAGCTTCTTATACCCACCCCAAAGCTTCCACAGCCTTCAAAACTTCGAAATACATAGTCGTGGAACATTATATGCAATATCCAAAGCTTAATTTCTAACGAATTTTCACAGGTCGCAGTATGAACAGCTGTGCTGCCGAGCTGGCAAAGCTCAACTCCAGCAGACTCAGCGGCGACTCGAACCCCGACAGCGTCAAGCAGACCTCTCGTGGAATCAAGCGTACCCTCTCAGCAAGCGCATTCTACGGCCCTGCAACCCCCGCGACCAAGGCCCGTGAGATAAAGCCAAAGCCAGCTGCAGCCTCGAACGGAGCCGACAAGCCAGTCACATCTACTCCTGCCACAGGCTCGGCCAGAAAACGCGGCAGACCGAGCAATGCCGAGCTCGCGCAACGCGCAAAGGAAGCTTCGGAGCGTGGGGAGGCCGAGAAGGGAGTCTATGCCACGAAGCCCAAGTCAATTAGTGATCAGTCCGTAGGAGAAGCCTCCGCGCCCGGCTCAGAGCCCCCAGCCAAGCGCGGACGCGGCAGGCCTCCGAAGAACAAGGCTCCCGTGGCAAATGTTCGTTAGCCCATAATTCTATTTTAATACTATCACGTTTGCCGTCTGCACTGCTGACTATGACCAGCCCGGTGTCGATGTCGAGGAGAGTAAGCCGTCAGAGGCGGATACGGATGTAGCCGGTCCCGCGGACCCTGAACCTGAACCTGTAGTGAACGACACCCCACAAGACGACGCAACCACCAAAGAGACTCGCGAGAACCTCGAAGTCGTAGCCCGTGCCGCCTCTGCCACTGTCTCTGAAGCTCTTACACCGCAGCCCCCCATCGCCCCTTCCAACCCACCAGTACCAACCTCCGCTTTCAAGAAAATCTTCGGCCTAGGCAGCCATCCAGCAACCACCCAGGCGCCTCCCCCCGAGCAGGCTATAGGGGCGGCGGCGCACTAGGTTTCGGTTTCCTTTAATGGCGGACGCGCTTCCTTCTTTTATCAGCAATTAGATCTTGCAATTAACGAACGAACGGAGATTTCACTTTACTTTCAACTCCACAACGGATTTTCACAAATATCACGAACCTGAAAAGCGCAAACTACGACGACGACACAACGTCTTTCTTTATTATCTAAAGCCCTTCATGTTTCCCGTCACCTTTTCCTTCAAAATAATGCAGTCCTTTTCCTTTTGATTCCCCAGACCTGTATTACGAAACCAACCTGATTCCAAACGGATTTTTTACAAAACACCACATCCCTTTTTCACATTCACGAATGACACGCACCTCCGCGCCAATATTCTTTATTTTGTTCTTCTTGTCTTAATGCGTTCTTCTTACTATTTTTTTGGCTTTTCTTTGTTTACTACCCCAGCACCAGCGCCACGAGTCATGCGCATAGGGCATCAGAGACACCGGATGCCTGCCTACCTACACCACACCACACACCTGCTGCTTTCACATACCCCCCCGGCGGATTTTTGTTTTTTTGTTACTTCAGAGCCAAGATCCAGGACATTCTGCCTTGCTCTCGCTCTCTAGAATGGGTATGGAGGCTTTCTAAGACTTAGCGCCATTTGGAACTGGAAGAGCTGGACAGCGAGAGGTGGTACGGGCTAGGAAACGGGGCGGGAGGTAGTTGTGCATAGCCGAATGAACGGCGGAGGAACAGAGGGGGATATCTGGCCTACCTACCTACTCTGTATATTAGAGGGCAAGCGAACCGACCTACCTACGAAGTGAAGTGTCCATTTCAGAGAGGGACCATGTGGAAAATGGGACAGCATGCAGATCTCAGTTCGCTTTGAGTTTTGAAGATGTGATTGTGCATATGAGTAGTGATATTGTGTGAGACTGTGCTATGTGAAGTAGCTGAGTCTGCGGTAATTTCATATACTGCCCATCGATTGTCATGGCTGGTCGTTTCCACATCTCGTCTTAAAGCCATGATTCGAAATTCATCGCACTTGCTGCCACTATACACCACTCGACCATCTGGTCTTCACTCCCACCTGGATACTATACCCTCTCTCTCTCCATATCCCCATCCCCTACCCCCTCCCTACCTCAAAGTAACCTTCGGGAACCACCTCCCCCCACACCACCCCTTCACAACAATACTCTGAATATCAATATTCCCATTCGCCCCCACCTCCGGACTCCACATCTTCAACAAAATATACCTCCCACTAACCTCCGGCTCAAACACCAACCGACACCGACTCTTATCCCTCTCAATAAAAAACCTCGCATGCGGCGCCATCAGCCCCTGCCCGCTCCCCCTCCCATCAACTGCCTTCACCGCCTCCTCCGTCGCCTCATCAGCAGCCTCAATCGCATTCTCCAGCCCCAGCGACACCACAGACGGCTGACTGCGCCTCGCGCCCCACGATCCCGAGCGCGACCGCGACCACGGCGGCGCGGCGCCCCAGTCGCCAACCTCGTCCGTCCAATCGAGCTCGATAGGCCCGGGTGGTTCCTCCTCAGAGTCCTCCGAGGTAGTCTCCCCATATTCCATCAGCGCGTGGCCCATGCGCTCGCGCTCCTCGCGGCGGCGTTCGCGCGCGCGGTTGCGGTTGGCGCGCTGATAGCGCCGCGAGGAGGTCGACGAGCCGGCGTCGGACTCGGTGTCGGAGCTGCAAGAGGTGGTGACGCGGAAGGGCGGGGTGCAGGCGGGGTCGGTGAAGTCGGTGGGGATCTGGGCGGCGGGGCGGGAGTAGGGGGTCCCGTCGGAGTAGACGGTGGGGGATTGGCGGGTGGCGGTGGTGGAGCCGTCGTCGTTGTGGCGGATGGAGATGACGGGGGCGGTGGCTACGGGGTTGCCTCGGCCGTTGCGGCGGTGGGGGGTTGGGAGGTATTGGATTTGGTATTTGGTGGTGCGGGTGAGGAGCTCGTCGGAATCCATGGAGATGAATACCATGCCTTCTTGGACTGGCGCTGTGTAACCCCGCGGCGGGGCCTTGATGATGATCTCTTTGAGGCAGAAGGGCCTGTCGCCCTCATGCTTGAGCACTAGATTGCAGCGATTGCTTTTGGTGGAGTACACTGAGTTGTCCGTTTTCAGGACGTTTGCTGCGCCGTATATGATGCTGTCTCGTTCCGAACCCTCTGAAAATGTGCCCCCATCACAGAACTCAATCTCCATGTTGAGTTTTCCGGGCTCGACTTGTCCATAATACCCATAGTTGACTGCGGGGATGCGTGACTCTGAAACCGGCGAACCTAGCCTTCTCCGCTTAAAAGCCCGATTATTCTCTTCACCCTGTTCTTGCGCTGGGCCAAGTAGTTGTTCAAGCATTGGGGCTTCGAATCGACTGCGCGACTGGGACATCGCTTGCTGTAGCTGTTGTCCACTTTGGTACATCTCTTCAAGGCTGGCTAATGTTGGGCTACGCCGCCTCCCTTCTGTCAAAGAGCGGTGTACTTCTAAAAGGCGGCCACTCTCAGTCATGCGTGGTCGAGGTGGAGGAGCGGATCCTTGAGGTGGCACCGCCGAAGCGCTTGGAGAATAGCCTGGGGGCGCTACATCGATTCCAGGCGCACCGCCGGTCGAGCCCAAGCGGTTTGCTACTACCCTCGCACGCTGCCGCCTCACCCGGTCGCGGAGGTTATTTGACGACATGCTTCGTCGGAGCTGTTCTACCCGCAGCCTCGTGGCCTCTGCCTCTTCTGCGGTTCTGTCAAGTTCACCCAACACTTGTGCCAGTCGTGCGGTGCGGCTGTTGAAGCGGCTTATAGCTCTGAATAATTCGCCCGAGGGGCTTATGTCGTACAAGGAGGCGTCGTCACCCAGTCTATCCTGTAGAAAGCGAGTTGTCTCTTCGAGATCGGGTTCTGGAGAGTCCGAGCCGTTCGACTACAGTATATAGTTAGCTATCTCTGGGCCATTTCGTACAAGTCGAGGTTCCGGGATTGAGGTCACTTGCCATCAGATATGAAGCCTAGGAACAAGGGCAGGTGGCGGTGACAACAAAGGGCAGGCGCATGCACGATTACTGTCTGTTGTAGGTGCGAGATGGGTAGCTATATCAGATAGGGCAGAGCACCGAGGAGTAAGAGTGTCTTCGTCTTCGCAGCGGTGAGTGAGTGAGTGAATGAGCAGTAGAGAAGTTGCAGTTACGGTTTCATTTATTGAGTTTATGGAGAATAGAGGAGCAAGTGTAGGAGTACAAGATGCACTGTACGAGTATAGAGGTATAGAGGGGGTGGTAGTGGCGGTAGCTTGGCGGTAGTTGGGTGGTAGGGGTTGGTGGGGGAAGGAGCCCCGGAACCCGTGAATGCGGCAGTCTGACCAATTACAGTGCTGTAAGTACGTGCGACCAAGCAAAATGCACCCTCCGCAGACATCAGGGTATATTGCTTCATTATTGACTCGATGCTTGTTATACCACTTAATATTGCCTTGTCACAAAGAGATCAAAGCATCTACAAATTTCCTCTGTCCTTCTCAAGCTTTAATTGCGCTTTTTGTCGATCCTATACCGTCACACTGGTGCTGTGCTCTTGTAAGTTAAGGCTGAAAATAGGCAGTTTCCAGAACAACAACACTGCCAGAACAGACCCGGTCCTGCAAGTTATTCTCCAAACTCAGCCTCGTCGCCGTTAGACTACAGTACCGTTCCCTGCCCGCCATGGCAGCAAACACAGAGGATGGAGGGCCAAGCCTCCAGAATGAGACCACAACTAATGCAGCCCCGGAGACTGGGATTACTGCCGGTGAGCTTCTTCCCAAATCCAACACTGTGCGTGTTGCCTGTCATTTCAGAATCTAACGCGCACCAGACGAGATTGCCCTGTACGACCGTCAGATCAGGCTCTGGGGCGTCAAGGCCCAAGAGAAGATCCGCAATGCCAACGTTCTCCTCATTAGCATGCGAGCACTCGCGAATGAAATCGCAAAGAACCTCGTACTGGCAGGCATCAATTCCCTGACGATAATCGATCACAGCATACTCACGGAGAGGGATTTGGGCGCACAGTTCTTTGTTTCGGAGACTGATGTTGGGAAAAACAGGGCTGAAGCGGCGGCACCACAGGTCCGGAACCTCAACCCGAGAGTCAGTATCATAGTCGACACGGATGATATCAGCATCAAAGGGCCTGGATACTTTCAGAGTTACGATATAGTGATTGCGACAGACCTTCTCCCGGATACCCTCAACCTCATCAATACAGCAACGCGAGTGAACAACAAGCCTTTCTACGCGGCAGGCGTGCAAGGGCTCTACGGCTTCATCTTTGCCGACCTCATACAACATGACTACGTTATCGAGCGTGAGAAGGGCAATAGAGAAACACTATTACAGCCAGAGACACGGACACGCTCAGTCATCGACGCGAAAACCAAAAAGGAAGGCGGAAAGCTCATAGAGATGGTCACCAAGCGCGAAGTCTATTCAACCTGGTTCCTAGCCAGCGACACCGCGCCTCTACCCCAAGATTATGCAAAAAGCCGCCGCCGTCTAAAGGCCGTCACCCCAATCCTATCGTGCTTCCGCGCCCTCTGGGAATTCCAACAAATCTACGACGGCCGCTTCCCAAGCAACCACGCCGACATCGCCGCCTTCACTACCCTAGCGACATCAAAACACCGAGCCCTCGGCCTCCCGACAGAGACCCTGCGCGCCGAGGTCCTGCGCAGTTTCCTGCGGAACCTAGGCGGGGAGGTCGCCCCCGTAACAGCTATCCTAGGCGGCCAGGTAGCGCAGGATGTAATCAATGTGCTCGGGCAGCAGCAACAGCCCATCCAGAACCTAGTGCTCTTCGACGGGAATCTCATGGAGGCGCCGGCTTACGCCCTCCACCCCGACGGCGATCTGGGTGTAGCGCTGCTCCCTCTTTCCGCGGCGGCGCAGAACGGGAATGCGCCCGGTGCGCCAAATGGAGTGAATTGATTTTTGGTTGGATAGCTGGCCCAAGGCGACGCTGTGTATCCCGCCACGTACTGGTTCGCGGCCTGGGGAAAACGGGCGCCGCAGAACGGGGTCTAGGCGTAATAAGGCGTTGGAAAGTAGAGCATAGATACCAAGCAAGATATTAATCTTCATTTTCCCCTTCTCCCTCACTCCCACTGTCCACCTCCTCCCTTTCACTGTGATCCGCCGCAACATCCTCCTCTTCCAGCTCTTCCAATTCCGACAGCCCTTCCACAGCCTCCTTTTCCCCCTCGTCGCTGTCATCAGCCCCTCTCTTCCTCTTAGAAACTACAGGTGCAACCTCGTCCTTCTTCACAAACACGTAACTCCTCGCCGGCCTCTCCTCCCCCTTCCACCCCGTCTCACTCACCTCTCCCGCCCCCGTCTTTACAACCCCAGTCGTACGCGCGTGGTGGTACCCTGGATACGCCGAAGCCTGGAACTTGAATGACCGCTCCACCGCGAACCCGCTGTGTCGTGCTAAATCCCTAATATTCCATAGCGTGTATGGCATTCCCTCGAAGAGGGTGACGATGATACTCCCCCCCGGCGCCAGCGACGGTATAGCGCGTTTAAAGAAATTAACCAAGAGTTCTGCGTCCATCCGTTAGCACTCATACTACCCTCATCTCCACCCCCCGTACCTTGGTTATACCTAACCTGCCGATTCACATCCGTACTCTTCCCCCCCACATGCGGAAAATTAAAAATCACCCTATCCATCCCCCCCTCTTCCTCCCCCCCCACACTTCCCCTCCCGATCCCAAACCCCCATCCTCCCCGCATCAACATTATACACAACCTTCTGCTCCTTCTCCTCCAGTGCTTCTACATTCGCCCCAACATGTGGGTACTTCTCCTCCAGCTCCTTCCTATTCCTCTCCTGCACCGTCGCGACGACGTGTCCGCATCCGTGCGAGCTCACTAGGGAAGCGGCGAAGGATAAATCCCCGTCCCCGATGAGGAGTATGCGATCAGCAGGGGAAAAGGGGATTATAGGCGCCTGCTTCTTGTGCGGGACTACTTTCTTCGCCGGCGCGGCGGCGGCGGTGGTGGCTGGGCCTTTGGAGCCGGCTTTGAGGTGCTTGGGGGTGGGCTTGGCGGGGGGTTTGTATTTTTTGGCTGGGCCGCCCGCGAGGCGTTGGCGCTTGTTTTTGCCCATTGTGTGTGTGAGGCAATGGGTGGGATTGGGGGGTGGTGAAGGAGGGATGGGGGATGGGATCGGGAAAATGGGGGAAGGCTGAAAATTCATGCGGCCGCTGGGGCGAGGCGGGGGAAAGGTTATATGGTGGGGCAGTGTGGAGTAACTATATCGGGAAGGGAAGCCTCATAGGAGTTGATGGAAGTTGATGATAATATTATTTGCTAAATATATGGAAGGATAACACATATAACATTGGCTGATTGTTAGAGCGAAGGCACTTTGAATTGAACTCCAAAATACGGCCAAGGGCTGTTACAACGAAACTTGTTCATCAACTACATTTTCAATTTCCTTGTGCTATCTGACTTTCTTTTCTATGAGCCAATAACGCCGCCGTGTTCAAATTAGCCATGAGCTTTGGCTTCAGCCTGGGCGATATCATCGCCGTAGTCAGCCTTGCAAACAAGATCCGCCAACGAATTATTTGATAGTCCAGAGCGATTCAAGGCGATCGCTACTGAGTGAGTTATTGCAGTTGTCTGTTGGTTCCAGGGCACTTACTGTTCCCGGCCAGCAGAAAACTGAGCTACATGGGACAGTGCAGGGATGTCATCATCTTCTAGAAGAGCTAAAAATTGCACTTGATAAGTATCAGGAGTTGGATCCGGACGCCAAAGGCTCAAACGGGAGGTCCCCAAAGGTAAAGACTCACTTGGGACTAGAAGGACATAGACGGGTTTCGGGGTCGGATCTCGTCGAATATCATACTATTAAATACATTCCTAGGACTCATAGGTAGGTAAAGGGCTCTCCTTCATTTGAAATGAATACCCAAGCTAGATCAGAGCAGCTGTAACGGGTGCCGCCGTTACAGTACATGTGGTATATAAAGCGTGTTACGCGTATTCCGGGCGAGCCGGAATACTGTAGTCTTTTTGGCTCAGTGGGATGTAGCGCGAGCGTAACCGTACATCATTACACTTCACCTCGAGTCATTGATCAGAAAGACGTCGCCTAAGGCTATCAAAGCGGCCTTAGAAAAGCCTCCGACAGGATCCGAAGCGTATGATTATGCGTATAAGGAAGCAATGGGAGAATTGAGGGTCAGATTGCCGACTCTCAAGACCTTGCTAAACAAGCTCTCGGCTGGATCACTTGCTCTAAGAGACCCCTGACAACCTTGGAGCTTCAGCATGCCCTTGCAGTCGATATAGGCCAGTCTAGCCTTGATGAGGAGAATCTTCCCGACATCGAAGATGTTGTTTCAGTATGTGCTGGCTTGGTGACTATTGATGAAGAGAGTGGGATAATCCGATTTGTCCATTATACGACACAAGAATACTTTGAGCTGACCTGGCTTTCTTGCTTCCATAATGCGCGGGAGGATATCGTGAAAACTTGCGTTACCTACCAGTTATTTAGTACCATTGAGAGTGGTTTCTGTGCCACGGATTACGAATTCGAGGAACGCTTTAAAGTTTAAATCCACTTTACGACTATGCGGCCCAGAATTGGGCCCATTACGCTTGCGCAGGTTCGACAGAAGTAGAAGAGTCAATTCTGGATCTTCTTCAGAGTGACGACGCTGTATCCGCCTCTAGTCAAGCGACGATGATGACTTATAGGGAATATCCTGGCTACAGTCAAAGGTGGCAAGGGGAGTGAGAGGGGCACACCTTGCAGAATATTTTGGACTGGAGAAAGCGATGACAGCCTTATTAAAAAAAGGACACCGCCCAGATTCCAAGGACTCTTTCGGTCAAACACCGCTGATGTGGGCCGTAGCCTTCGGGCACGAGGCGGTGGTGAAACTGCTGCTTGCCACAGTTGGCGTCAACGCGAACGCCATAGACACCAATGGTGCGCCGCCGCTGGCGTACGCCGCAATGATCGGGAAAGAGGCGGTATTAAAGCTGTTACTCGCCACAGCTGCCGTTAACGTAAACTCTAGGAACATTGACGATGAGACACCGCTGTGGATAGCCGCAGAGAACGGGCAGCGGGAGTGGTGAAGCTGCTGCTCGCTACCGGTAGCGTCGACATAGACTCTGAGAACCATCGGGGTGAAACGCCTCTGTGGATAGCCGCATACCACAGGCATGAGGGAGTGGTGAAGCTGCTAGAATCGAGCGGGGACAAGACAAAAGAAACGAAAGGAGAGCCAAGTCCTTAGGAAGTCATCCTGTCCGAGAGATACTGTAGGTTTACACGACAAGGGATCGCGAGCGACTTGATGGCTTATAATACTAGATATACTCGCCTAGCAGGGCCACGTAGTGGTGAGGGTGCGGAGAGGCCATACTTCGCACGATGAGCGCAGTGGGTGCGAGAATGTTGGGAAGGAGAGGGGCCATGGAGAGATACAGTCAAGGGGGCAAGATACCCCTTTATAGAACTCGAAAGCGGCAGGAGGCCAGTGTTTACACGTCCGATTCGGTTGGCGCCAAGCCCACCAGGTCGAACACCACGATCTAGATTGTGATATTCCAATAAGGTGCTACTGATCCACATAATTGAATTGTTTCGGTTTTCTCTATATATTCTGCAGGCCTCGGGAAGCAAATCAAAAATGCTTCCCGAGGCCTGCTTAGGTTCCTTCCAGACAATAATCTCAAATGGAATGTCTAATGGCATAACCTGCCTTCTACAGACCAATCATATGTTCCTTGGCTTGGATGCTGCACTAGCCTTCCGTCAAGTCCATGGACAAGCCTTTCAGATATCCCCCAGATACTCCACATCTTCCCCACCCCCGAAAGCACTCGCCTTATTCTTCTTCTTGCCCTTATTTTTCGATTTCGCGGCATTGCTGCCCCCTCCAAATCTATCATTCTCTTTTCTTTCCGGCCCACGAGTAGCGTGAATAGCAGCCTTCTTCTGCCTCGTCGCTTCCGCAAGCTCGGCTTCCACGCGCGCCTCTTCGGCGTTCTGCTCCGCCTCGATCTCCTCTCGCTCGGCATTGATGACCGCCACATCCTCGTACTCCAGGCCGGTATGAGACTTGTATTCGTCGAAGTTGATCGGTACCTTCTCTCCCAGTAACGCGCTATTAATCTTGCTAGGGTAAAGCCGCTCCTCTTTGTTGAACTTGAGCTTGATTTGGCGCCTATTTCGATCAGGAAACATCTTGGAAATCATCTCGAAATCGGTTCCGAACATGCGCAGGCCGACGTAGAACTTTTCTTCGGCCTCGAGGTCCCAGAATATGTTCTTCTCGCGTTTCATGAACGTGCCAGACGTGGTGATCCGCGTGAACTCGTTTTCTTCGATGATTTCCATGACTCCAGCGTTTGCTGCAGCTAATTTGTGGCGATCGAGGTTCAAAGAGCTTTCGTCGATAACAATCTGCCCATCCACCAATCTCATGCGAGGGCCTACGCTTGTGGTTTGAAGGGGTGTCTCGTTCGCCGATCGCGTTGTTGCCGAGGGCCTTTCATCGTCGGAGGCTCCAACAAGCTCGGGATTCTCTCTCCGCAGTTTCGCCTTCGCTTTCCTGTCTATATCCCTCTGCTTTATTTCATCGTGCTTGCTAAACTTCTTGCCAATCTTGAGATCCTTGCAAAGATCTGCCATCTTGATTGTTGAGTGGTCAATTTCCTGATCTTCCGCATCCTCGGGGGTCTCCGCGCGCTTTTTCCGCGTTCTGGGTTTTGGGGTGCTAGAAGTGGCAGCCCTGGGTTCCCTGGGCTTCCTAGGTTTCCTGGGCGCGCTTGTGCGCGGTGTCTTGGTTGCGTGGACTTGAACTTCAATGCTACGCCGAATATCAATGTTGGCATCATCCAATTTCCGTTTCCTAGCCCTCGGCTTTGCCTTAGGAGGCTGCACGGGAGTTGGGACGCCGGAAGTTCCATCTAGATTCAGAGGCACCACTGGGATAAGTTGGGATGGGTGGCCTGTTTCACCTGCACCCAAGGCAGATAAGTCCATAGACTCATCTTGAGTGCTAATTGTAACAGTATCACTCCTCTCGACATCCTCGCGATCAATATGTTGCTGGGTTGGTTGTGAAACAGGCGGACGTATTGTAGCAGTGTCTTGAGGTGTGCTTATTATTGCCGGTCTTTCCGTCACCTTTCCAAGGCGTCCCTCCTCACTCGAAGCAGCAACTGGAGTCGTTTCAGCGGCTATTGTTGATGGTATCGAAGGGGGGCGTGTCGTGGGTTTTGAGATTGGCACCGTTTCCTGGGATTGTGGGGGGATTGGGACTTGGCTCAGTCTTCGACGAGTACTTGACGGCACCGACACCGCAGCCTCTTGTTCCAATGGGGTCGCAGTTATTGGCGGCTGCACTACTTCTTTTGTAGGAGGAGGTATGACTGCAAAGTCTTGCCTGGCCGAAGTGGCTGGTGGTGCCGCCGAATCTTTTGGAGGCGGAGGTATGACTGCAGAATCTTGTCGCGCTACTGGTTTCTCCACAGAGGGTGCTGATTGAACTTCGGGTGCAGCTGGCCATTCCACCTCGACCGACGGGATGGGAACATTATTAGCAGACGGAGGCGCTGCGGCTTGCGCTTGCTTTTCGACAGGTGGGATCGATGGTGAGGCTGATGGTGCAGTAACCCCAGGTCTTCGCGCTGGAGCGCGTGGCTTGAAGCTCGCGGCTCCTTTCTTCTTCAAAAGGGAACTCATGGCTCAGACGTTCCCATCCATGAGAAAGGCCGGGTAGGTTGTTGGCCAAAGTGCTGAGAATCCCTTCAGAGGCGCAGTTGTCGTTGGATGTTCGCTGCGAGTCAGGAAAGCGCATTTTAGTTTACAAGGCTAGTTATCTATCTTTGTTATCGAGTCTAGGCGTCTGAAAAGTGGGACTAAGCGACAGATTTGGAGCTAGTGCACTTTTGGTCTCTACAACGCTAGGATCCGACCTTCGATCTTTTGAACAATCCTGCTCCCCCTTCAACACCACATTGCCACCACATCCCGCGACAACATACAACAAACTTACAACAAACTTCTCTCTCCTGACGACAATGAGCTAGGTCTTGCTCTTAAACACTGTTCATCGCGACGCGCGATTCTTGTGCTGCCTTGCTTCTGATGAAGGTGGCCGCTCCAACCATCGGCCCCCTTCCTGCAACCATCATCAAGATGGAGGACAGGAAGAGAGCAGCTGGCCAAAGCGTCGACGACCTTGCTCCGCCTACGAAGCGACAAGCCATGAATGGCGGCAGCAAGGTATCTGTCGACGCCGACATGCCATGGAAAGATGACCTGGAGGTGAGTTCCGTCAATCTTTCCTCTGCACACGATCCCTCTGTTAGCTTGGTCCACCACACGTGCCAAGTGTCACTGTGCGATAGAGGTCGCAAGACTAGATGATACACACATGTCGATGGCCTAGTCTAATGTCCCAGTTGTCACAAACTGTTGTCGACCTCACATACCGATCCTCGCTCCACATCCCAGACCATTCGACCATATCATTTCATACTACCATCGTTCTATACACAGTTGTGCACATATGGGTTGCGTAGGACTTGTCTAACATGGATTACAGAGGTATCAGAAAGATGCAATTTTACGGCAGATGACAGAATACAAACGCGAGAAGGCACTACTCGAGTCAGAATTAAAGGATGTTCGCAAGCGCTCTGTTGATCACGATGACCACCTACGGGTTGTTGATGCTTGGTGGAGCCAACTGCTGGACGAAGTCAGGCTTTTGACGAAGAATTCTGCGCCAAGCACTTTCACTGTAGATGGTACGTTGTTTGCGCCAGACTACAAGGAAGACTATACTGACGCGTTTCCAGCCCCATTTCCCACCGCTACGAACTTTGAGAATAGCGTGGTGTTTTCGGATCACTTAGCCTCGAAAGCGAAACAAATCAAGGAGATGGTTGCCAACATAATGGCTAACCTTGATACATCCCCGGAAAAGCGAACAGATGAAGTCCAGGATCTACAGCAAAAGCTAAATAAGCTTCTCGCCTCGCATAAAGACGAAATGGTCAAGTATGATCGGATGCGCGTAGAAAATGAGCAAGCGAAGGAACGACTGGAAAGCGCCTCACTCCGTGCCCTTAAGCTGGAAAGGAAACTGGAACGCTCCAAGAGCTTAACTGTCGCAAAGTTAGAGCAGCAAGCGATTGCTGGAACCGGCAACAGTGCTGGTAGCGGGATTGGTAGTGTCGAGAACGGATTCGATACTCGCGCTCAAGTTGCCAACGGCTCAAAAGATACCGAGGCGAAGGTTGAGGCATCCCAAGTAGCTTTGAAGGAGGCCGTTGCTGTTTCTGATAAGCAAAAGCAACAACTGGAGGAATTGTTCACCGAGAATAAGTCGATAACAGAGCAGCTTACTGCCGCGAACGCTAGACTGGCCAATCTCACCGAGGACGACTACGCCCGGACCGAGCTGTTCAAGAACTTCAAGAGTCAGCATGAGGAGGTCATTAAGCGCATCAATCACCTGGAGGCTACCAATATCCAGTTGAGGGAAGAGGCAGAAAAGCTCCAGGCGGAACGCACGACGTACAGGACACAACTTCAGAACGAAGCGGAAACTGTCAAGGAAGAACTCGAGAGCCAATTGCAACGCTTGGATTCCGATTTAGCACGTGTACGATCTACCAGAGACGAACTGTTGGCTGACCAAACGATGAGAAAGGCGAACCAGGACCAGGAGCGAACCGCCATAGGCCAGATGAAAGAACTCGTCAGTGCGAAGGAAGATCGCGTAACGAGCTTAGAATCTGAAGTTCAAAGGCTGAAATCATTAGTGGAAGGTTCTTGTGAGACCACTCCTAAGCCGGAAATTGAAGGATTGGATCTCGCCGAGCTTCAACGAAAGTATGTTACGCTGGAACAGAGCTTTTCGTCGGTCAACAATGAATTGCCAGCTATGGAGAAAGCATACAAACGTGCAGTCGCGACAGCCTCGAAGAAGGTAATGGACTTCGCAGCCCTGGAAGAAAAGGTTTCCATTCTTATTGCCGAAAAATCGAAGGCCGACCAAAAGTACTTCGCCGCTCGCAAGGATATGGACACCAGAATAGGCGAAGTCAGGGCCCTTAGAGCACAGAACTCGAAGAGCTCGGAAATTATCACGCAGCTGAAGGATGTCGAATCTTCAAACAGAACTATTGTCGCCGGGCTAGAAAAGCAACTGAGCGATGCCCGACAATTGTACAATTCTACTGTGTTAGATCATAAGAAGCTCCAGTTGACCAGCTCAGAGTCAGCTTCCAAGCTGGAGAATTTGAGGGCACAGGTATCAGAACTTACCAACATGTTGAGGTCCAAAGACACCGCCCTATCCACCACCAAGCAACGGGCTCAGTCTGTCGAGACAGAGCTAGAACAAGTTCGTGCTCGATTTGAGCAATCCGAAAAGGAGAAGGAGACTTGGAAGGCAAAGAGCTTAAGCAATCAATCAGGCGAAGAAGAAATGTTGAGAGTAAGTTTATTAGTCGCTGATATATTGGACTTTGCTAACGTATTCTCCAGATGCTCGCATTATGTACTATTTGTCGCAATAATTTCAAGAATACGGTCTTGAAGACGTGCGGCCATCTATTCTGCAACCACTGTGTTGAAAACCGCCTAGCGAACCGGATGAGGAAATGCCCCAATTGCTCCAAGGCATTCGATAAGATGGACGTCATGACGGTGCACATGTGATTGCACAGTCACCCTTACTGGCACACGCCAAATTTCCATTTGATCTTTGTATGTCCGTGGCAGAATTCGAGAAATCAATCTTCTGAGGGGCTTGTATGGTGGTCGGGGGTGCAGGATTGTATGATGTGTTTCGGACGTTTCTGGGTGTTGGCAATGGCTTCCTGCAGCTATTGTCAATTCGCCGCATAATTGTACATTAGTTTTTCCTCGGCACGATGGATAATGGCTTGGTTTCCTATGCCGCCTGCGTAGGATAGCCTCGCTGCTACAATGAGAGTGGCTTCCCTAAGCGTTGGGTATCAGACTGCTCGTCATAGAAGTAGATATACAATTAAGACGGCTACATTGCTGATATCTTTTTAACTCTCGAGGTGAAATGCCTGTGCTCACTGTCTATATACTAATACACCATCTATCTCCGAGATGTCGATCCAAACCCCGTACTCTCATGCCGAGCACCGGAACTGGACGAACCCCCAGAACTCGACCGGCTAGGTCCCCCATAATTATAACCATTGCCACCACCCCCCATCCACCCCCCTCCCCCTCGAGGCTCCTGCTGCCTATCCCCTCCAAACCACCCCCCAACCCCCCTGTTCTCTTGCTGCCTATTCCCTCTACTCCCAGCCATATACCCCGCCGCCGCTCCACCCGCAGCACCGCTCCAGAACCCCGGCCTCCATCCTCCTTGCCCCGGTGACGACTTTCCCGTTCCTGGATAAGGCGGCGGTGGATCGGTCGGATAGTCTCCTCCCCCTCCCCCCCCCCCACCACCACCACCGCCCCATCCGCCTCCCCAGAACCCATCTCGTCTAGGCTCCCTCCTCGGTAGCACCCGCGTGGTACGCCAGTCCTGCCAAATCGAATACAGAATCCACGCCGCGACGCCCAGGAAGATGGCCCAGAACACAAACTGCGCGAACCCACTCACGTCACCGTCCTGGCCGGAAAAAACATTATGTCCACCACTCCCGTACACTTCCTCCCCCCTCTTCGTCAACAACAACCGATACTCGACACCACAACTCCCCTTCAACACCCTGGGATCCTCCGGACTGTCGTAGCCCTCACATATCACATCCGTGCTCCCCAACTTAAATTCCTCCGGCAAATCAGCCGTGCACGTCCACTGGATGTTCTCATCGTCGTAGTCGCTCCCCGCGTTCTTGCAGCGCATCACGTCGATGCTGTAGTGTCTGCAGCCGTTGCCGCCGGCGCATTTTAGTTGTGGGATTGCGGGGACCCGGCGGTGCGCGGTGGAGGCTGAGGAGCGGAGGGTTAGGGATTTGACTTGCGAGAGGAGGACGCTGGTGCCGGATTTGCGGGCGGCGGTGGTGGGATCTGAGAGGGTGAGGAGGGCGAGGAGGAGGGGGGTGAGAAGGTGCATTTTGGGGAGATGTGATAGTGTAGTGAGAGGTTCTGCCAGTGACGGAGTTTGAGAAATAGCCACGGGGACAAACTTTAATATGCGGGCATGAAGTTCGTTCGTGCTACTGATGTTGATATAGAGAGATATGAGAGTCAAAGGAGACGACAGATTTCAGATACTTGGTGGTTGGCATACGTACTCGAGGTATTGGTCGACGAGGTTGTGTGGCCTGTGATTGGTCGGAGCTCATAAGGCTACCTCGGCCTCTCGGTCAGAACAGCTCAGAGCGCAGCCTTGCGATCTTCAAGCAACCTCACTCGGGACAGCAAGGTGTCGGGAATTCCAACAATTACTGGAGCGAATTCTCGCAATCGCGAGGTACGAGCAACGAAACCAGGATCGACGGTGCGATATACTCGAATATACAGGATGCGTCAGAGAATCACCTTCGTCCATGAGCCGCAGGATGGGATTGATCCAAAGTCAATCGGCATCCACACCAACACCTTATCAGTCTCTGGCCTCAAAGCCGCAAGGGAAGATCATATAACTCTATCCCTTGACGAACTCCCGCAGGACCTGCGAGTAGCTCTTAGCCAAACGAAAGAACTGCATATTCGATATGTAACGCCGGCGTCATACGAGTCGATACCACCGTTCAATTCTCAGCTGTCGCCAGGGCTGCATGTTTATTACACCCCCAAGACCGAGGTTGGGAAGGAGGGCCAGGAGTATGTTGTCAGCTAGGATTTTATACCATGTTCATGTAGCTGATAGTCTGCAAGATTCAGTGGTTTATTATGTGGCCTCATAGATACGCTCTTTTACTTACAAGACAAATCGCTCTGCCAGACCCCCGAAGTAGCCTCCCCCCTCTTCCTTCCCTCCACCCCCACCGCCCGGGATCCATTGCTAAGAGTTCCAGATATCATTCACCTCCCTCCCATCCAAAAACCCCAAACACAGAGGCGTATATGAATACTACCTCCGCGAATCCGCCCTCTCTCCCGCCGGCGGCGCATCCGCCCTACAATCCTACTTCAAGCGCATCTGCGCCAGCACAACCTGCCGGACCCGCATCGACGAAGGCGTCACAGCCGCCTCTATTGATCTCGACTTCAGTTCCTCCAGCAACACCGCAACAATCACCACCTCCTGGTCCCCCCGAACCTGGACCTCCGTCGCGGTATCAAAGATAGACCACACCGACCGCGTCGAGCTCGGCATTCTCTCCAACGAAAAGCCAATCCGGCCCGACGACCTCAACATGTCCGGCTTCCTCACCGTGCTCGGGGAATCAGAGAAGCCCGCACCTACCATGTTTCAGTTCCCCAGCCGACACCATAAGCACGCTGCGAAATTCAGTAGCTCGTTCATTGAACCGACTGGCCTGCATCCTACATTGCAGCTGTCGGTTAGCAACAGTGAGCCCCCGAAAAACAGGGAGGGGTGTAGGTTGAACGCCCATTTGATGCTGCCGAGGAGTGTGTTTCCGGATAAATACCAGTTCCGCGATGCCCTCTTCATGGCGTCGAAGAATCTTACTGCGCTTCGACATGTCACGATCCCGGTCGATTTGGAGGCGCCGGAATACACGATGGCACTCTGGGGGTCCTCGCTGCTGATTGAGCTTGCCCCTCCGCCTCCTAGTGAGGAGTCTTGGACTGCGGAAATCCCGTTACATCTCAGATACCTGCTGCCGAGCGGGTCGGGGTATAGTTCCACCTCCCTCCCCTCCCCGGTGCTATTCTGGGCGTGTGAAGCGGATGAAGAGAGTAAGTTGGAGGGGAATCCGTTTGATAGGGTGAATTTGGGGCATGATGGACTGTTTGGGGATAAGACGCTGTTTTATCACCTTGGAAGGGAGAAAGGGGAGGAGGGGTATAAGGAAGTCAGTGTGCCGGTTCTGAGTACGAGATTTAATAGTGAGATAGAGCTGGGGACGGCGGTGGTGGTGTTGCTGGGGTTTGGGTGGGTGTTGTGGAAGTTGTGGGGGGTGGGGAGGGGGGTTGGGTATGGGAGGGGTGGGGAGGGGAGGGGGGATGGGTATGGGAGGGGTGGGGGGGGGAAGGTGGAAGGGAAGGAGGAGTGATGGGGGGGCGAAGGTGGAGGGGAAGGAGGAGTGATTGGGGGGGGGAGGTGGAGGGGAAGGAGGAGTGATTGGGGGGGGGAGGTGGAGGGGAAGGAGGAGTGATTGGGGGGGGAGGTGGAGGGGAAGGAGGAGTGATTGGGGGGGGAGGTGGAGGGGAAGGAGGAGTGATTGGGGGGGGGAGGTGGAGGGGAAGGAGGAGCGATTAGTATATAACTGGCTATACTGTGATGCATCGTGGCTTGTTTTGTAGTGAATGTTATAGTGAATGTTTCCACCTAAGAATCACTCTTGATTGGTTGTTTCATGTGATTGTGCACAGTCGTGACAGTCGGTGTATTGTATACATCAACAGACTCGTAGGCCATACCGCATGGTGTTATTCTAAATGATTGTGTATTCCAATGCACACACGACTAAAGCCCTTCTGTGCGCCCAGTTTTCAGGCCAGGTTTTTGCGTACAGTATTGCCTATACTATACACATAAAGTCATACCGATACTGGCCCATTGAGATCCATGGCCTCTTAACGCGTCTTCACTCCGTCGGACAAGACAATTATTGAGCCAGCAACCAGTTCAGCTACAAACCTACTAGTTATACTATACAGATACAGTCTACAAAGAACAATCCAATTCTCCTACAACAATGATAATATCCCTCCGCCCCGATGAGCTGGGTTGAGGTGATCTTCTATAATCTGTAACGATTCATTGGCCCGCTAGCCACCTCGCTGGCGAGAACCAGCCGCCGTCTTACCGCGCGTCAGGGAGTTGGGATGATTTATTTGTTTATTGTAGTGTACTGAGGATGCTATTGAGATACAGGATCTACTATTGTCTACTATTGTCTACTATTGTGTACTATTGTCTACTATTGTCTACGATTCTCTACTATTATCTACTATTCTCTACTATTATCTACTATTGTCTACGATTCTCTACTATTATCTACTATTCTCTACTATTATCTACTATTGTCTACGATTCTCTACTATTATCTACTATTCTCTACTATTATCTACTATTGTCTACTATTGTCTACGATTCTCTACTATTATCTACTATTGTCTACTATTGTCTACTATTGTCTACTATTGTCTACTATTATCTACTATTATCTACTATTATCTACTATTATCTACTATTATCTACTATTGTCTCTCTCTCTCTCCTTAGAAACAGGGGTCTTCGCATGTGGCGTTAAGCCCTCTGCCAAGATTAGAATAAGCCCATAAGAGTAAGTTACTTATGATCAATACATACGCTCGCGGAACAAGACACGGTTGCCGTCGATTTAATTGTTCCAACAGTACTGGAGTGCTTCATGAGTTAATTATTATCATTCTTCTATCCTCCATCATCAATTATCCCACTGTAGACCACTGTCGATGTAGAAAATAAATAAAAATCCGGGCGGACTGCAACCGACCAATCAAACCCCGCAAATAAACCCAAAAATCTCGCTAAGTGGGAAACCTTGGCTTGGGATTGAGGACCAGCTTTCTTTCAATTGTCTCAATAGCCACTTTTCACACGTATTCATGGTCACGTTTCTAACAATCAACAAGACTTCTTTCCTATAATTATCAAGCTATTGCCGATGATTGCAACGAGAAGGCCAATTGTCGGCTTCTATTGTCTCGTCAACGGAGTTCTTGAGGAGTCGTCAAATCTCTAATTACTTCTACCGTACACCCCCCTTCAACCGTGCATCCATCACACGCCTCCCTCCCATCATCATCCACCATTTACCAACAACAATCCATCCGTCCTTCTTAATATCAACTCTAACCTGGCTTTTCCATCACTGGCCGCCATTCCAATCATTCCCCCCGTGACTCTCACCTTTGAGGGTCACGTCCAACCCCGGTGCGAAATCATCACATTGCTGGACCCGCTCGCAGAATGTCCAGAAATGGCGATGAAGGCGGCTCTCGTGCAGGTCACGGGCCAAACACCTCGACATCATCACGCCCGCGTCTGATCGTCAAACTCCCCGTCCCCAGTCTCCGCAACCTGAGCATCTTCTCTCACCCTTCCACTAATTCACACGCCGCCGCCGCCGCGCCCTCGGCCTTCCCGGCGGCCCCCCCAGCAAACGCTCCCAAGCGCAGAGGCCGCCCGCCCAAAAATCTGCACAGGCCGGACTACGCGCCGCCTCCGCCGAAACCAAAGGTATCTGATCTCCCCAAGCCCCTCGCCACGCGCTCGAGCAAGCGCAAGGCTGCTGAGATGAGTGGGGAGCCTGGGGGTCCCGGGGATTCGGTTACGGGTGACGGGGATGAGGATTTTGACGGTAACCAGCCACCGCGCAAAAAGTCACGCTCGCTGTCGCAGGTTCCGCCGATGAGGATTTCGACTAGGAATAGAGGGCGTAGACATTCGAATTCGGAGGTCGCTAATCATGAGGGGGCCGAGGAAATCACTAATGGTCACGTTACGCCGGCTGCTTCGCTGCACAAGGAGTCGTCTCAATCTGAACGGGAAATTCAGGTTGCTAGGACTTCATCACGTGCTAGGAAGCAAGAGAACTTAACGTCGAGCAATGAGCTCATGGCTTCTATTGAGCCTCATGAGCGCCTTGAGAGAGATGGAGGTGCTCTGGGTGTAACTACGAGAGCTGGTGCTAGAACCAGATCTACATCAACCAAAGCACATGCGGCTACCCAGGATTACGATACCATTATATCTGTTGTCGCTACTGAAGAAGTATTGGATGCCGTCAACGGTGAAGCTGACGGCATTCAATCCGACGCCGGCACTCCTCTTAAACCCAGAGGCCGGGGTCGCTGGCCAAACGGGGCTATCAAAGCCAAGGCAATGGTAGCAGCGCTTTCCAAGAAAGCTGCATCAAAGAAAAAGGGTGCACCGGGAAAGAGAAAGACTTCTGATGATGCAGTCGTGCAAGCGGTTTACGACAGGCAAGCACATTTGAGGTCATCATATAAAGACCTCCGCAAGATCATCATAAGAGCCGAGCAGGCGCTGCTTGATCGTGCACTAGAGGAATTGGAAGAGGATCCGGAGCGCCACAAGAAGACGCCGTATTATGAGAATGTAATGAAGGGTCTCGACGCGCGCCATACCAAGGTGTTGGCGCAGAATGAGCGGAAGGACCGGTTGAAGCGTGATTTGTTGGAGAGGCGGTTTGAGGCCAATGTGGCCAGCACGTGGCAGCAGCATAATGTAAGTTTTGGCGTAAGTTACGCGTGGTCAGATCACTAATTCCATATAGCTGGAGGTCAAGGAATTGCAGGAGAAGTATGAGATGATTTGCAAGCGCGCTATTATGGAAGTCTTGAAGCAGGCAGCTCGTGACGACGACGATGCTGCAACTGTTACTGAGGTATGCTTCCTCTACTTCCTTGGCGTTATGACGTTCCTAACTAAAATAGATTGAGACACTGGATCCTGCCCATGTATCAGCTGTGTTGGAGGGCGCGGAAGAAAATGAAGCAGAAGAGGTAGCCACGCCTGTGGAACTTGAGATCAAGAAACCTGTGCCGAGGGGAAGAAAGAGCGCCAAAAAGCGTATTGCGGACGATGAGCCGCTTGGAAGGCGGGTCGCGCGGCGCCACGCACCTGCTATGCTTTCTGCTACTACGCAGGGTGGAGAAGATTCAGAGGCAGAAGTGGCTCCTGAAGCGCCTCTGATTATCACAACGCCGAGCCGACAAAGAAATAAGTACCAGTTTGACGAGTATGGCGTTTGCGTCCCAACTGAGTCCAAGAAGGGGGCTCAGAAGGAAGAGCCGAATAACAGGGCTGTTGTCAGACCCTGGATTACGTTTACGAATGATGAGATTGGCCTCCGAAACTATCCTGAGGAGATCAAAGAAACCAACAGAGGCCCAATACCGAGTGGCTATATTCACCTTGACCAGTTCAGAGGCATATATGATATTTCAGGTAGGGCCGAAGACTACGATGGGGACCTTATCAACAGACACCTTCTCCATCCGAGGATGGGTCTTCCTGTTCCTGGCTCCATCAACCCCGATAACGCTGTACCCTCCACGGACTGGACAAAGGTCCTGAAAAACACGCCTGCGCCCATCTTCATTCGCGATGAAGAATATCCCGAGGGACAGTCCACATCCAAGTCTTGGAATATAATCATGACTGAGCGAAAGTGGAAGGAACTTGAGAGGCGTATGGATGCTGGGATGAGCTTGAGGGTTGGCTTGGGCAGGACGGGATTGGCCACGTTCGATGCGATTGCGCGGGATAAGGATCTGCAGGGAGATATGATCGAGGATATTCTGGCCGCGTCGCAGATTATCGAGAAGGAGCTCACCGAGAAATTACAGCGCTCAGAGTCTCCCGAAAAGAAGGATGCTACTCCAACAGTCGAGGAAGCTGCTCCTATCGAGCGACTCCCGACACCAGACACGGCAAAGTTACTCCTCCTCGCCGATGCCATCGAGATGTCAATCCTAGAACCCAAAGTCCACTCACCACCCCCACCACCACCACCCCAACCCCTCCGCCGCTCCAGCTTCCAACAAGCCCCACCAGCGCAGCAAGCCCCACCAGCGCAGCAAGTCCCACCAACCCCAAGAACCCAAGCCCAAATGCTCAGCATAGCATTCATCAACAACCCCAGCCCCAGCCACAACGCCCTCCCGCCCCTCGCGCCACAAGTGCCGCAGCAGCAGCAGCAGCAGCGCCCCTACCCCGGCCCCGTCATGATGGCCGCCCCGCCTCATCAACCACCACCCCCGCCTCCACCGCGGAACTTGCAAATGCAATACCCCCCATCCAACCACACCCCCCCGCCTCCTTCTACGGGCCCTCAAACAGCCCCCTCCGCACATCGCGCTCCTCTTCGGGACTGCGCAATATCCTCCCGCGCGCGATCCCCAATGAAGTTCCGCGCCAACACCATAGGTACCAGCAACCACCGCCTCCACCGCCACCGCAGCAGCAGCAGGCGCCACAGCAGCAGCATCATATGCCGCACGAGCACCAGAGGTTTTACGAGGCGCCTGTGCAGTTGCCGCCGTATTTGGGCGAGCAACAGCAGCAGCAGTATGGGGGTGTGTATAGACAGGTTGCGCCGAGGCGGCCGTATAGTCCGTATCCGCCGCCGCAGCATCCGCAGCACCAGGGGCATCAGATGCATCACCAGCACCAGCAGCCGCAGCATAGTCCGCTGCAGCATCATCAGAGCCCGCATCATCCGCCGACGCATCCGAGTCCAAGGCGCTAAGCTTTGCTTTGCGGGAGGTTCTGGCGTACCTGGCACCCTTGGGGCAGTCGCGGGGTATCAACAGGGAGGGGCTGGTGTATATCCCTACCGCAACCACGGTTTATCTACATAAGTGTATATCTGTATAATACATACCCAACCGTCTCGTCTACCTCCCATTGTTTGCGGGAGAGAGAGGTTGACGGCCTCTTGTATCTTAGTCTTCTCAAATAGGGGGGGGGTTTTTTTTTTTTTTTTCTTCATTTCGTCTTGCATGTGGCGCGGGGATATCGTTTGTCTCATTCAGCGTCTACTTTCGTTTTGTTTTTGGTTGTTTTGCGCGCCATGCTAGGGGTCAGGCTCATGATGGATTTGAACATGCTCGGGCTGGAATGACTTTTGCTTTCTCGTTTGTGTTTTTTTTGTGGGTGATGAGTTTTGTGCATTTTTAGAGGGAAGCTTCGGGTCATGGGGGAGGGGATGAGAAACTGCTACGGATTGATTTTGACCTTGCAACGGCAGCGCTGGGAGCTTGGTCTTGTGGCATATGCTTGCACCGGTGGGGTTATTTAGGATAGGATAGGATGAGAGGGTGGTTGGTTTGTTAATACCCTATCTGGAGAGAAGGGAGGGTGGACAAGACAGACAGAAAGAAAGAAAGACAGACAGACAGATAGACAGACAGACAGCAGACAGACGGATGGACAGAATGAATGAAGGAAACAAAATTACAATTACTTAAAATTACAATTGTTTGATTTATGCGGCGGCCGCGAATGTGAGTTTCGGGGATTGAGTGAATGAGTAGTGACGACTTTGGCCGGCTTTTAAAATTCGCTGCAAGGCTGTGACTCTTCCCATATCCCCGTATATCATTAGAATTTCAAACAAAGCTTACTATTTCCCATACGTACATTCCCAATCCCGCCTGGATCCTTTTCGCCATCATAATTCGTCATGTTGCATCAGCGCCGTAGAGTCACAAAAGATTCTCGTTAGCTTTCCAGAACTGTTAGTCATCCCCGCCTCACCTTCCTCGGCCTAGCGTCATCGCCCTCGCAATTCTTCGCTATCAGAAATCAAAAGCCTAGGCGATCTTGGGTGGCAGCGGCGGCAGAAAAAAGTAAAGAAGGGCCATAACTTATACTGAAGTATCGCACTATCGTCGCTCATACCAACAATCACACAAAATCAACGACCACGACCCCTACCACGACCACGACCACGACCACGAATACGTCGCGAACTGAAGTTTGACACGACTGTTCGGATAGAACATAGACAAGAATAGACAATATACTAGACCAGCAGCTACAGAATCTACCATCGACTATGGCTGTCCGCGCGCAGTTCGAGAACTCGAATGAGTAGGTACCCCGCCATGATGGTCGAGCGATCGAAGAACTCACCCACTCGACGCACAGAGACAGCTGCGCATACGATGGGGGGATAGCTGCTAACGGGATCATAGGGTCGGAGTCTTCTCCACGCTCACAAACTCATATGCTCTTGTTGCCGTTGGCGCGAGCGAGAACTTCTACAGGTAAGCCTTCAAACTTCCCGCTACATTTGCCTCCCCACCAATATTTTGCCTTGCCTCTCAAAGCATTCAAACTGCAATCCAGCATCTCCAGAAACCCCACAAAGCCACAAGTCACAAACACAACTAACACACCCCCCACAGCATCTTCGAAGCCGAGCTCCAAGACGTCATCCCCATCTGCCACTGCACCATCGCCGGCACACGCATCATCGGGCGTCTCACCGCCGGAAACCGCAAAGGCCTCCTCGTCCCCACCAGCACGACGGACCAAGAGCTGCAGCACCTGCGCAACAGCATCCCCGACTCTGTAAAAATCCAACGCATCGAGGAGCGTCTCTCCGCTTTGGGCAACGTCATCGTGTCCAACGACCACGTCGCTTTGGTGCACCCCGACATCGAGAGAGAGACAGAGGAGATCATCGCTGATGTCCTGGGGGTTGAGGTGTTCCGCCAGACGATCGCGGATAATGTGTTAGTCGGCTCGTATATGTCGTTATCCAACCAAGGTGGACTCGTGCATCCGAAGACCAGTATCCAGGACCAGGATGAGCTGAGTAGTCTGCTCCAGGTGCCGTTGGTGGCGGGGTCCATTAATAGGGGAAGCAGTGTGGTGGGCGCGGGGATGGTGGTGAATGATTGGCTTGCGGTGACGGGGTTGGATACCACGGCGACGGAGCTGAGTGTGGTGGAGAGCGTGTTTAGGTTGGGAGAGGGGATGGCGCCGGGGAGTATTAATACGAGTCTTAAGGATACGATGGTGGAGTCGTTTTACTGATCTGGGAGACGCGCGGGGGATGAAAAGTTTGGGGGGTGCTTGGTTTTCTCGGTTTGGTAGGGGAGGGGGATTTGGGGGGGGGTAGAAGGGTTGGGGTAACTTGGCCTTGGGGGGATATATGGGCTGAAGGTATTCGTTAGGGATGCTGAGTTTTGAGCGGTATTGCTCTGCCCTAGATGTGGTGGCGTGGATAGATATCCTGCGCCCGAGAAGAGAAACCTTTTGACCCCGTTTACTGCAACTGCTACCATTCTGTGCATATAGACAATATCACCTTTATTCCCACCCCAACCTCTCCACATACATGTTCTCTATTCAAGAACACCAAATTCCACACCCATCGTTACTCGTGGCAAATTCGTGCGAAGCCAAATTATCACCCATCATTGATAACCTCTCGTCAACATCCCAACCGCACACCTCCATCACGCACCCCCTCACAACCAACACCATGCCACCACCCCGCACAATCACCGACTCAGATGCAGACACCTCACCCATCTCACCATCCGCCTCCTCAGTCCGCCCCTCCCCGCCCCCGACAACCATCGCGCTCGGGGCATCCAGAAAGCGTTCCGCCTCCTCCGACCCCACCTCTGCGGACCATCCATCCACAACCCCAGAGCCGGAGGAGCAGCTGAGCGAAGAAGCCAAGGCGGAGGAGAAGAGGGCGAAGCAGATTGTGAGTCCTTTGTACTGGATTGGGTTGGGGGTTGGGAAGGTGCTAATGAAGTAGGAGGCGATTAAGGCACGAAATAAGGAGTTGGCCGATGAAGTGGAGGCTATGGAAGCGAAGCTTGCGGATGCGAGGGGGAAGTTAAAGTACGCCCCCCACCCACCTCCACCCCACAGATTCCAGTGATATATAGAGTTGGCAGTGCAGTAGCTAACGGAAAAAAAGGAACCCAGCCGCTGCAGCAACGGTGAAGGCGCATATCAAGCGTCTGCATGCGTATAATGAGATCCGAGATGTTGGGCAGGGGTTGATTGGGTTGATTGCTGAGCAGAGAGGGGTGAGGATTGGGGAGTGTTATGATAGTGGCGAGTTTGGGGTTGGGGCCAAGGATTGAAGAGCTGGGGGGTTGCTTTTTTGTCTTGGGGTTAAGGAGTTCATGGAGCGTAGATGGAGTGGCGCAGGATTTGCATAATTGGCTCGAATATCGGGTTTATATACTGGCTCTCCCTCGGCTGGCTATTTGCAGTATATCGAAGTATATATACGATTTCCAAAAACGTTTCCACTCCGCCAATGGCTATGACGCCTTTTCAACACTCTCCCCTCTCGGGGCTTCAGTCCGCTCATACGCCCCATCAGCACTCAAACTCGCCTCAATAAAATCCTCCAGCTCCTCACTCACAGTCTTCAACTTATCCTTCACATTCTGCACCCCCTCATTCCCCACGATATGCCTCGCGGGCGGGTTCTCATGCCCCCCAATCGCCGTCAACGCATGTACCGTCTCCAGCACCAACCGATCCGCCGACTCCGTCGACAACTCCGGATACCGACTCTGAATCCCCTCCTCCCTCCGCTCCCCACTCTCATCCAGCTCCTCCTCCGGGTGATACCCGACGACATTACACAGGATATCCCTCGGCCCCGGCGCCGGATTCTGCCCACTATCATACTGCGGCAGCTGCGGCGCGAATACCACCTTGTTACTCAGCACCCCAACCTCCATATTCGGCTGCACAATCGTGACCTTGATGTTAAACGGCGCGACTTCGTACGTCACGGAATCGCAAAAGCCCTCCAGCGCCCACTGCGCCGCGGAATGCAACGCCATTCCCGGCGTCGCGATATGCCCCCCCACCCCCGTCAGGACCAGCACATGTCCATTCCGCTTCGCCCTCATCATCGGCAGCGCAGCCTTAACAAAATTGACATGCGCAAAGAACACAGTCTCAAACTGCCTCCTACACAAATCTCTCGTCGCATCGCTCGCCCCCAGCTCCTCTACCGACCCCACCACCGCCTCGCTCGAGTTACAAAGCAGAATATCAACGCGCCCAAACGTCTCAACAGCCTCCGCCAACGCGGCCTGCGCGCTCGAGACAAACCGCCCATCACATTTGATGCCGCGGATGCGGTGGGCCCAGCCTTGCGTCGTGCGCCGGGGGGACTTGCATTCGTTGATCAAGGCGCGGAAGGCGGCTGAGCGGGCGGGGTCGGAGAGTTCGGTTGGGGGGAGGCCGGCGGCGACATAGTCGCCGTGGGCGAGGAGGAGGCGGATGAGGCGCACGGAGAGGGGGGAGAGGCAGGAGGTCAGGAACCAGACGCGGGGGGAGTTGTGGGTTGCTGGGGAGAGGGGTTAGCTGTGGGGGTACTGGGGGTGCGGGGTGGGGGACGTACGGAAGGAGACGGGGGGATTGGGGGGGGGCGGGAGGTTGGCCCTTCGGACATGGTGGGCTGTTGGGAGGTGACCTGCGAGAGGGTTCTGGCGGGTGGGTTCTTATCAAGGCATTACCTCTATTTCCGGCAGTCGCTCTTTTGCCAGAGACAGGCGCTGTGCCGGCGTAGGTATATATATGAAGTTGGTGATGTTTATATGGGGGACAGAACTACCCCACGGACGAGGTTGCGGCAAAACGTAAAACACGACACATAGGAAAGAGCGAGCGCACGGACGGAATCTGCACAAACCCCGTCAATCAGCGATATTTCGTGCAATCATGAGTCAATATATGAGAAAGTCCATGCAATTGCTTTTACCCGCAGGAGTCAGAGGAGCGTGATTTGAATATAAACACCTCTTGATCCTCTAATTCCCCCGCATTCGTGGCCTCATTTCTACACCTTTGCCAAACCAGAGATTCCCTCATCCTTGGCCGCAGAACTTTTAGGAACCCCCGCACTATCTCCAAAACCCACCCCGCATTCTTATATTTATATACCAACACCTCCTCCTCTCTCTCCCACCACCCACCATGCCCTCCCGCTCCGAAATCTCCTACTTCGGCGCCGGCCCCGCCGGCCTGCCCACCTCTGTCCTCGAAACCGCCGCCAAATCCCTCGTGAACCACAACGACACCGGGCTCGGTCTGGCCGAGCACTCGCACCGCTCCGCGCTCGCCTCGGGCATCCTCGAGGACACAAAGGCGCATCTGGCGTCCTACCTCGACATCCCCGCCGACTATGACATCCTCTTCATGCAAGGTGGGGGCAGCGGCGAGTTCTCCGCTACGCTTTACAACTTCATCGGCTTCTGGGTCGAGAAGCGCAGACTCGAGATTGCCAAGGCACTCGGCACCGATGACGAGGCTGCCGTAACAGTCGCCCTCAAGAAAGCCGTCGACGAGGAGCTCAAAGTCGACTACCTCGTTACCGGCTCCTGGTCCCTCAAAGCCTCCCAAGAAGCCGCGCGCCTCCTCGGCTCCGAACACGTCAACGTCGCTACCGACTCCCGCACCGCCGCCAACGGCAAATTCGGCACCATCCCCGAGGAGTCCACCTGGGCCCTCTCCGCGGCCCCAGCATTCACCTATTTCTGCGACAACGAGACGGTAGACGGTGTTGAATTCGCCGCCTTCCCCGCCGCCATCGACGACGGCCGCATCGTCGTGGCGGATATGTCGTCCAACATCCTCTCTCGCCGCATCCCCGTCTCCAAATACGCCGCTATCTTCTTTGGCGCGCAGAAGAACCTCGGGACCGCTGGGATCACCGTGGTGGTGATCCGGAAGAGCCTTTTGCCGCCTTCATTGGCGACGCCGTCGGCGAAGTTGATGCGTCAGTTGGGTTTGCCGATTCCGCCGATTATTTTGGATTATGCGACGATTGCGAAGAATAACTCGCTGTATAACACATTGTCAGTCTTTGATGTTTATATCGCGGATCTGGTCCTGCAGTCGCTGCTGGCTACATACCCGAATAAGGTTGATGGACAGCAGGCCGTCTCGGAGCAGAAGGCTAAGGCTATCTACTCTGCGCTCGAGGCACACCCGCAAGTCTACGAGGTCCGCCCTCCACCTCCTTTCAAACTTCCTCCCTGATAACACACCACTAACACCCAACAGATCGTCCCCCACACCTCAGCCCGCTCCCGCATGAACATCTGCTTCCGCATCCTCGCCCCCAAAGCCGAAGCCGATTTCCTCACCGGCGCCACCGCACTCGGGCTCCAGGGTCTGAAGGGCCACCGCAGCGTCGGCGGTATCAGGGCTAGCAACTATAACAGCGTGTCTGTCACTTCGGCGGAGAAGTTGGCGGCGTATCTGGGGGCTTTTGCTACGGGTGCGTAGGTGTCTGTGAGCTAAGTAAGATAGGAATGTGTTAGGTATTGGCGTTTTTTGCTGTTTTGGGTTCGGGAGAGCAGTTTCAACATGGGTGGGTAGATGGTCCTTCACGACCATCTACAGGGAGGAGAGGGTTTGATAACGAGGGTAGAGCGGGGGGGCATCTTTGGCCAGGTGGACAGACATACATATTAAAGTACTCATATCACAAAAACAAACAAGTCTTCAAACTCAAAACCCCTGGAAGTTCAAACTCTCTGCATTACAAAAACCGACTAAACGCATATTATCATCCCCCCATAGACAACAAAAAAGCAGCACGCAGGCTTTCCTTTCCAAGCCCCTTCCCAAACGCCAAACCCACTGTTGCGCATACATACAAGCGCCCGCGTCCCTAAGTCGCACAACTACTATATAACAACCCCCCTATCTTTCCATGCCGTACCCCATGCCAACCCTCCTCATGCCATATCAATCCAATCTAACCCCCCACCCACCATTACCTAAGTATACACCCCTCTAATCATCCAACTCAATCGGCCTCCCCTGACTCCCCTCCGGCGTCGGCGGCCTCACCACCGTCACCGGAACCCCCCCACTCCCCGCCGTCGCAGGACTCTCCTCCTCCTCCTCATCCTCCACAATCGCCTCCCCCTCCCCCGCCACACCACTCGTCCCCGCCCTCTCCCTGCGTCTCCTCCTCGTCTTCCTCTCCTCCTCCGCCGTATCCCTCCTCCGACTCCTCCTCGCACTATCCCTCCTCTCCGCACCCTCCGCATCCTCCCCCTCCACCCCTCGCATCCCCTGCAACAACAGCGCAGCCCTTGCCGCAACATCATCCGAGCCGCCACCCTCCTCCGCCGCCCCAGAAGGCGCAGGTGACGACTCGCCCGCCAGCGCCTCGCTCGCCATGCTCTCCAGGCTCTGCAGGCCCGCTTCTAGCTCTGAAATCTCGTCGAAATCGGGAATCTTCTGACCAGACGCAACGCGCACCTGATGTTTATTCTGCAACCTCGCGCGGCGTCTACGATCGCGCTGATCGCGGACCTGCGGCGCGGCCGCGCGCAGCTTCTCGAGGAGCGAGTCCATGGCGCCTGCTGAGGAGGGGGAGGGCGGTGCGCTGCTCCCGTCGGCGAGGGTGCCGCTGTTGACCTTGAGGAGCATGGCGTTCTTGCGCTTCATGCTCACGTCGTTCTTGCGGCGGGTTTCCTCGAGGCTGATGTTCTTGTCGCGCGAGCGCTTCCACTCCGTCACGAAGGTGGCGAGCTTGGAGAAGAAGTCGCGGCGTGCGTTCTCATCCGAGCTGTCCTCGCCGTAGAATACCATGATGTCGTCGTAGGTGCTGACCATGTCCTCGAGGTAGAGCTGCATCTGCTCGGCCTTGCGGCGCGCTTCTTTCATGGAGCGCAGGACCACTTGCGAGACGCGGTCTTGGGGGTGGAATTTCTTCGCGTCGCTGAGGTTGCCGGAGTCGAGAGACATTTGCACGTTGCGGATGTTGTCGATGTACTTCTTGGCGTCGGTGCGGAGCTGCTCGACGTTGAGCTTCTGCGCGGTGACGACGCCGCCAATGTCGTCGGTGAAGTTCTCCCACTCGGGGTACTGTGTGCGGACGATACGCTCGACCAGGTCGGCAAAGGTGGACTCGTTCTTCTCATCCTTGACCATACCCAGACGGGCCAGCGAACTAAGCTTGAAACCACTAGCTTGCTTGTTGGAGTCGTTCATGTAGTTACCGATGTCGAGAATCAGACCAAGAACATTCATCAGCGACACGGAATCGCGGAGGGATTCGGACACAGTAACGACCTGGCGAAGCTTGGTCGAGACGTCCTCGTACTCGGCCTCATATGTTCTCGTAAGAGCCAGCGCACGTATCCTCGACTTCCAGTAATGGTGCAGCTCGAATGCGGTCTGTAGGTAGATCTGATCCTCTCTCGTCAACTCTTCAGGGTCCATCTCACGGGTCTCCTTGTTCGCTTCCGGACCCGTCCAGTCCTTGCTATACGGAGCCATGAGCTTGGTTGTATTGTCGGGGATATTGCACAGGTCGTCCTTCTGCAAGAACTCCATCACAACTGTGTTATCCAATACCTCAGTGTCGCAGTGGATTATCATCTGAACAACTTTCTCAACCGAGTACGCCGAGAACTTGGAGAGGGAGATTTCTACACACAAAAGTATTAGCATCATCAAACCACATAAACTCAACGCAACAACAAAAATAGTACTTACGGAACGTCCTAGCCAAGTCGCTGGAGATAATCTGCTTCTTCGCAGTCTTATTCCCGCTCGTCTTGCCAATCTTCTTAATCTCCTTCGCCATGAACAGCTTCTCAACCTCATCAAGAACACCCTTCCTCGTCAGCTCCGCATACTTCTCCTCCTTCTCCGCCGGCGTCGGCGCGTGCGCCGCCCAATGCGTCGTCAGAGGAGTATCAACCTTCTCCCAATGCAGCGCCTTGAGCTTCTTCTTCGGGCGCGCCACGGGCAGGCCCAGGGTCGGGACTGTAGAGAACTGCGGCCGCGGAAGGAAGTTACCGGAATTGTGTCCGGGCAACGGAGGCGGAGGAGGTGGCCCCATGGCGCCAGGTAGTGGAGGCGCCCCAGGTATTCCAGGTGCTCCAGGCGGCGGCGGCGGTGGTGGACCGTTGAATCCACCAGCAGCCTGGCCAGGCATAGGTGGTGGTGGAGGAGGTGGAGGCGGCGGTGGTCCCAAGAAGCCACCACCACCCATTCCTGGTGGTGGTGGAGGAGGCGGCGGCGGAGGTGGTGGTGGACCGTTAAATCCACCAGCAGCCTGGCCAGGCATAGGTGGTGGAGGGGGAGGTGGAGGCGGCGGTGGTCCATTGAACCCTGTCGTAACCACCTTTTGTGCGTCTTCATCACTAGGCGTCTTCGGTGACTGAGACTCGAGGCTTGTATGAGATGGCCCAGTGGTGATTCCATCGTCCTCGTCTTCACTAGCTCCCACTACTGGTACAACATTCTTCGAGCCCTGCACTCTCGGCCGCCTCAGCTCAACCACTCTCGGCTTCTCAAACACCGCGTTGTCGTCCTCTCTATCCGACTCAGCCAGGTCAGCATGCGAATCGACAGGCTTCCTCTGTATCCTCGTCGACCTCGAGACGCTCCCAAGCACGCTATTAGTGAGATCCGCCGGCTGCGTCGAACCGAGAATTGCATCTCCGCCATCCATCTCCTCACGTAGCGCACGCAGACGATCAGACGGTCCATTATCCGCGCCCCATACCCTGCCCTCCAGCTTATACTGCGTCTTCTGGCGCTGCAGCTGCATCTCAAGGCGATCCATCAGCCTCTCCCTATCAAGTATGCCCTTCATATGCTGAGGATCCGACTCGCCAAGCCCGTTCTTCGTCCCCTTCGACGCAGCAATATCCTGCGCATCGCGGAGCATAAGGTAGAGCTCTCTCGTCTCCAGCTCATTGCGCTGCGACTCCTTGGCGCGGACAGAGTGCATATTCTCCAGCTCGCTCTTCAGTCCGTCCGCCTGGCGACGCTGCACCTCAATGACCTGCGCCTGCTCGTCGAGCTGCCTCTGCAGCTTCGCGACCAGGCCATCGGCGCCGAGCTCGATCTGCGCCTTCGCCTCGTCGCGCTCCGCCATCGCGGCATCCGCAACCTGGCGCGCCTCTTGGGCCTCATCCAGCGCCTGTCGCGCTTCTGAGTCAGTGTGCAACTTGTCGAGCAAGCTCTGCACGGTGAAATTGAGAGACTGCTTGAGGTCCATGTCCGGAAGCCTCCGGTCCATAGCGACGTAACTGAGCATCGAGTCGACCAGCTGGAACATCCGCAGCCGCTCCTCGCCATCATTGTCTCTGATGAGCAGGAGATGCTGCAGCGCAGAGACAAAGTAATCCTGCGTCCGGCTCCCATTGACCTTCTGCATGATTGCATTTACAATCTGCGTCGGGTCACTAAGATCTTGAACCTCCGGCTCCTCGCCATCTTTCATGCCACTGTTCTCTCGCTCCAGGAGGTCCTCATAGTCGATGGCCTCGTTCTGCCGGAACTTCTCAATCTGCTTGTCGATATACTCGTACTGGAAGCCCTCCATCTTCGTCAGGATCCGCTTGATCCCGCATGCCGTGAACTGCGCGCGGATGTGCACCCGTAGCTGCAGGTCCTTGTCCGGCGCGTCGATGGTCATGTTGAGCAAGACGAGGGTCGCAACGGCGTATTCCATGAGCAGATTCTCCATGCCGATTCCGCCGCTACGGACTTCCTCGCTGGCGCCGACGAGACTGCCCATCTTCCCTCGGCCATCGATGGTGACTTCGACTATCCGCATCCATGCGTCGAACCGGCCATTCTCGCCCATCTGGTTCTTCACATGGTCCATGGCTTGAATTACGCGGAGATGTCCTTCGCCCTCGCCCCAATGGCACAAGAACGTTAACATCTCACTCACAAGCTTTCTGGTCGTGAGCCTCGGCGAGATCAAGGAAGTCGCCAGCGCAACAATGACTTGCTGGTGCTGAAGCGCATCATCAGCGCCATACTTGTTGTTCAAGAGAGCCTTCAAGCACTTCAGGATATCGTACTCCCGATCCAAATCCTTGTCGCTGGTATTCCCATCAGCAGGCGCTGGTCCATTAGCCTGCCTGCGGTTGATCTTCCCAAGCACATTCGTCAGTGCGACCTGGCCCTGGCATTCGACGAAAGTTTTAACCCAGCTGATCGGCTGCGTCCGTAGACTAACAGCCAAACTAGCCAACTGCTTCTGCGTAATGCTGTTATCCATCACCTTCCGGACAAACCATTCCGGCGTTCCCTCCTCGTCGGCGTTGGCCAGCATTATCTCCGCCTGTCCATATATGCCCGACTGCCTCGCAGTTGTCCGCCGCTTCTGCTCCCCCTGCCATTCCGTAAGGCGATCCTGATATACAAGTGTCCACTTCTTCCCGGGCGGATAGGCCAACATCTGACGCCGTGCCTGGTCCGGTAGATTATGCCATCCTCGCTTCTGCATCAGAGCCAAAAACTGCTGCTCAATGACCCGCTCATCTGCCGGCTTTGTAACGTCGAAGTTTGACGGTGATTGCATCATGGTATCTGGTCGATGGTATGGCATTTTAGTGGCCCGATGCGAGTCTCGACTCGAGGCTTGTGATGGTGCTAGGGAGGTCTGCGAGGCCGACGGCTGTACAGTCCTTGACGAGCCATTCGAGGAGAATACGCTCGCCCTCTCAGCTGCAGAGCCCACACTCTGCTGATCAAAAGATTGCCGAGGATACGCAGCGGAATTGTTCGTCGAGTATGTCGAGTAGGAGTCGTATCGTGGATTATGATTCGCATTCGAGCTACCAGGCCGTTGTGCCCCACCGGGTCCCCATTGCTGTAGTTGTGTCATCCTATTCCCCGTCGACGCCATTGTAATATTTGCAGAATTCGGAGGAGGTCGCGGCCCGGAGAGGACATGCGTCGAACTGTTTTGTTGGTTATGCCCGCTCGATGGATCGAAGACTGGATAGTGGTGGTAGTCCGAACCGCCCATATTCAAGTGATGTGGTTGCGGATCTCTCCGCATGGGCATTTGGTCACCCCTCGGAAGATAATCAACCGGTATCGGTGAGCGTCCATCGGGCGCATGGTCGTATGGCATCGACGATATAACGCCAGACATTGAATCTGTAGTTGGTGACGGGAGCTGGTCAACCGAGGCAATCGAGATGCCTCGAGCGTGCCGCGAGGTTCTCGATGCAACCGATCCCTTGTCCTGGAATTCCGACCCGAATTCGTCGCTGTCCTGCCTCCTGTCCTTCTTGCTGCTCCTCGAGAAGAAAGACTTGCCGCCGGAGGATTGGCGTGCCTTGCTATCCGACCCTGACATGGTGAGTAGCGGTCTGCCCACCCTAGAAGGTTTCCTTGGCCTTTATTTATCAGTCGTGGTGTAGTCACCCGACGCGCCTTGTTCGTGTAGTGTCGTTACTGCAATCATTGAAGTCTCATGTCATGCCCCTCTTTGGTGCTGCCCTGGACAGTGGGTATATCTATGTTGTTTTGCGTCTGGGTTATCTTTTTCGATCGGTACTATACAAAAACAGAATGTCGAGCGACGTGACCTGGAATCTGTGCGAAGGGAATCAGCATCAAAGAAGTTTCCCAGGATTAAGGGTCCCCTCGCGTCGTTGGGCTGGGCGATTCACTAAGGGGGTGACGAGGCAAGGCGCTTACCTCGACGTGGATATGCAAGCAACGCTACGCAGAGTATGTTTCGCGTCTGGCTGTGGTTTGGTCGGAAAAGGAAGTAATCGAGATTAGTCCAAATGATGATCGTGCAATCGAGAGCCTATAGTGTAGGGGTCCTCTGTTGGGCGTGGGTCAGTATAAAGTTATGCTTTTGGGGGGTTGCTGAAACCTTGCGAATGGTTACTTTATGGATATAGGCACAAGCCACAAGCTGGGAAGGGTTTCCTTCCCTCCAATGGGTGTGTTCGAGGGCCGTAGGAAGACCGATCTGCAGAGGAAGCGGCGGTGGGGGGGCACCGCAATCAGCGTAGGGCTATGATGAAGCCGCGAATATATATATGCCCAAGGGAACAAACGTCGAAGAGCAGAGTGGTGATACTCTATTATATCGTAAGCAGCTGAGGGTCAGCAAAGAACAGCCTTGTGTGTTGTGGCGTTGATGTGTCTCTCTTTTCCAGATTATATGGCTGATGCTTGTTACTTCTTGTGTTATGACACACTAGCTACTTTAGCCACGTAAAGCCACACCACTCTATTATTACAAGTTACCCCAGGCTCGGCGCTTCCACCGCCGTCATCTCCGCCGCCGCCGCCGGCCGTGACAGGGGCCGCGCCATCCCGAACCTTCCACATCCACATACACATACACATACACATACACATACACATACACATACATACACATACACATACACATACACATACACATACACATACACATACACATACACATACACATACACATACACATACACATACACATACACATACACATACACATACACATACACATACACATACACCTACACTACAATATCATCATCGACATACTTACTATAGCCCCCCAATCCATGGCCACCACCGAGCATCATTACGCCCACCACGCCCGCCTGCCCACCACCGACGACAAACCCTACTTCCCCCATCCCGCGCCCCCAGAAACCCCAAGTCCTCCCCAGCCGCCATCCCCAACCATGCCCTCCGCCACGACCACCACGCTCCTCACCACCTTCCTCGTCCCCCTCGCCGTAGCCGCCGCCCTCTACCTCCTCCTCGCCTTCGCCCTAATCCCTCTCTACCAACGGCACCACGCGCGCTACGCCTCCTACCTCCCCCTAACGGCCCTCTCAACCTCGACCTCCACATACCGCACACGCATCCAGGCCAGCATCGCAGAGTACATGTTGCCGGTGGGTTGGCGGACGGGTTTCGATTCGCAGGAGTACCCGGCGGATTCGCGGTCGGGAAGCGAGGCGGGGGATGAGGCGGGGGAGGAGCTGTATGAGTTTGTGGCGGGGAGGAGGGTGGGGGTTAGTTTGGATGCGAGGAGGGGGGGGGCGAGGAGGTGAGTAGGTTGAGTAGGGATTTGGAGGAGGGGTTTGCGGATGATAGTAGTGAGGAAGGGGATGGGATTGAGAGGGTTAGGAGGACAAGCCACTCGCCTGGCAAAGGGCGATCGTGTTAGGAATAATTACTACTAGTAATTATTCCTAGTTTTTTTCCTTAGAGCTTTCAAGCCCTATATGTGGAAGGAACGAATACCAACTAAAGCCTCAATCGCAGCCTCCTCAAAAGGTTTCAGTACCCTATCTATATACAGAAGGAACGATTACGAAGCAAGCTTCATCGCAGCTTCCTCAAAGCTTTTGGAATTTATATACGGAAGGAACGATTACCAAGCAAGCCTCATCGCAGCTTCCTCCGGACTTCCTACACCTATATATGGAAAGAACGGTTACCAAGCAAAATATCTGTTTGTTGCTTGAGAAAGAGGGGTTTGTTTTTCGAGGTGTTTTGGATGTTATTGATAGTAGGTTGGTATATGCTACTGTTGGTGAATAGATAGCTATGTTATTGCTGGTGGCTAGTAATATGCTATTGCTACTAGCTACCAGCTGTAATCACCTAGTCTTTGTCACAATACACCAGGTGGACATGCTAGTCAAGATGCATTCAGGAGAACTATCTATCTCAACAGCGCTCGCATGTCTTTTCAAACGTCGGCGTTCTCATATATGTCTTTGACATCGAATCTCGCGACTTCGACCGAGACCTCCTAACCTACCGCTCCATCATCTCTGCCCTGTCGCAATTCTCACCTACATTAGATCCGTAAGCCCCTCCTCCTCCCCCAGCCAATTCACCGAGCTCACCCGAACGACGCAGTTTTCCTCATCCACCACCCGCAATGCGCGGCTCCCCGCCGCGCCATTCGGTGCATTGTCGTCCAAGGCACTGGCTACGAGACCGCGATTCGTGCAATCTCCGTCCGTTCCTTCCTCGGAATGGCGCAGATGTCCTCTAGTCAAGGAGGTGGATCTCAAAAATGCGAGCCCCTACCGCGCCGACATTGTGACCGTGCAGCAGATGAAACAGCGCCAGGAGGCGCCGACGATGAGAGGCATCTTCGCCGCGTTGAATGATACGGTTGAGGGCGCGAAGAAGTCGGCTAGGGAGGTCGTGAAGACTGCGAGGGAGATGGCGGGGCAGCAGGAGGCGCTGGGGAAGAGGACGAAGGCCCAGTTGGCGAAGGTGAAGGAGTATGAGAAGAAGAGGAGAGCGGAGGAGGCGGCGAAGGAGAGGCAGTTTAGGGAGTGGAGGAAGGCGCAGAAGGAGGTGGAGAGGGGGAGTAAGGGGTTGCCACCCCTGATGGGTTGGTAGATGTGGGGGGGTAGATTGTATTATAGGGGGGGGTGATGTGTATGTTGCATTGCATAGGGGGTGTTGTACTTGTATTTAATGGTGGTGTGCACTACTGGGATAGTGGTGGTCAAAATGTGTACGGCATTTGTTAGATTGGATTGTACACTTTTACTATCCAAATCACTTTCAAATAGGTTCAGTAGTAAATCTGGACAACTTCGCTGTGGATAAAGAAACTTGAGTTTTAGTTGAACTAGCTGATGTCGTAGATGCCGAAGTCTTGTCTCTCGATGGCGATGGCGATGGGGATATTAGTTATGCGAAATGTTCCCTTACTCAAAAGTTGTGCAGTTTCGCGCCTGAAATCTGTTTGAAACACGGGTAGATCGCTAAACTGCACAACTTCAGGCAAATGCGGATAGGGGAATATTTGAGGTTTAATACTAGTAACCCGATTAACAATAAGAAACAAGTCATTCTTACAGCTCATTCATCTCTAGTGCTCATCCCCGCTGTCTCTTTCCGATAATCTCACGATCGTCTTCATCTTCGTCTTCTTCGGCAATGTCAAACTCCCTCTTCCTCTTCCTATGAGATACTGTACTTTTGCACTCCATCTCTTCAGCGCTGCCTGCCTCTGTCTTTGTAGCTCCGTCAGTTACAGCCTCGAGCCCTGAACTGAGGGGGGGTTGCTCTCCCTGCCGTTCCTCTGTGTCCCTCACTTCTCCCTCGCCCAGTCCAACAGTGACCAAGTCCCCGAGCTCGTCGATATACTCGTAAACCACTATATCCCCCCAGACATCGTTGCTAATATCCTTTCCCTTCGCCCGTAGTAGGCTTCTTGGAATGCTGCGGCAGTCCATAGCGTTTATAAATTGGCTCTGCCCGAGGATGATATACGAGCTTCCATTCGGCATTTTCTCCTTGGGTATAACGGCACCAATTGATGCCATGTCAATTTGAGCGTTGCTAAGGGCAATTCTAACCTCTATCTGGACCCTTCTCGTCTGATCGTTACGGTATGGATCATGGATGGGATGGTCGAGATATTTTCTAAAGTCTTCCGTGAGAAGGTCGTCTGACACAATAGTGAAATGGCATCCTGTGTCCCATAGGATATATATATTCTTAATTTCCTGTGACATCGTCGTGTCATCATTATCGACGGCCTTCAATACCACAGTTGCCTTGACCATCGGCAGGTAACCTTCTGTGAGAGTAGCCTTGAGAGTGATGGGATACGGCTCCCTCATGTCCTTGAATGGGATCATGTTCTCTTTCAACCTCTTCGAGGTTGAAGGCTTTGGCGTCGGGATAGTCTCCGCATTGTAATATGTTCTGATAGGCTGTCCTAGTGGGGCTTCTCTGGCAGCTGTCTTCGATGCTTCCCAGCTTGCAACATTATCGAGGGCGATCTGTCGGAATCTTTCTTTTTGTTCTTCAGTCCGGGATCTCGATACAATAATCGTATCGTCTCTATCACCCAATGCCGCTTCGGTTGCGTGGACAACATAACGCCAGGTTGTGCTCTTGGGGACGGTCACGGCAACGTCGTCGTATTTGCTTCGGATATTCGTTGCGACTTGCCGAAATAGCTCGCCGGGGGTTGAAGTTACAGTGTCCATGATTAGTCGTGCTCTTCTCTTGAATTCTTATAATTGTAAGTATTTCTTGAAGCGGAAAAGGACAGTAGTGATATGATGATGCTCTTTATGACACATTCCGAAATGGATAATTAAAGTCACGTGATCTGGGGCGTTGGTCGCTAGCTCTTGCCATCCGAACCTTATTTTGGTAGTAAACCACGCTAAGACCAAAACGGAATAAATGGTTCACCTTAGCTATCATCCGCGTTCCATTTCAACGACTACGATCTCCATCCATTTCTCAGTCCATCTCTCTGTTGAGGATTGGGGGATTGGACGGGGAACCCGGGAAGTACGCCCGTCGTATATTCCCAGAGGTGCCCCGCACGGCTGGGCGGGCGAGACGCGGGCTCGGCTGGTGAAATGAGCGGTCAGAACTCAGGGGTCTGACCGTGCCCCAGGAGTCCTCTATATAGTCACGTAGCCCATTAGATAGTTAATTAATTCAATTGACCTACATACTCTATTCTACTGTTTTGCCGTGGTGATACCAGTCGGCACCGTCTGCACTTTGGGAGGCCGTAGGATATCGAAGGATACCACACTTTTTGGTGTGGATTCCCGTATTCTCTGTTATTCCCCAACACTCTATCCACACTACAACGCATGATTACGACCGCAAGATGGCTGGCTGTTATGAGCCCCCCACGATGTGGACCTCTCTCCACCTATTTTACACCAGGCAAAGTATTATTTCTTGTTAGGAAGGCGGCCTGTCCTACTTGGACTTGTCCACTTTTACTATCCAAATCACTCTCAAAACAGTTTCAGTAGTAAATGTGGACAACTTTGCTGTAGATGAAGCGTATGTACACAGCAAACCAGCCCGCATTAAACATCCCATTTCAGAAATGTTCATCCTCTCGTCAACTTCCTAGTATGCGCCGTCTCCATTGGCGCTGAAAAAGTCGTCATCTCCTCCTTCACCTTCACCTCCTCCTCCACCTCCTCCTCCTCCTCCTCCTCCTCCTCCTCCTCCTCCTCCTCCACCACCACCATCTTTATCTTCGTCCAACCAAATTTCGTTGGCATCAACCGTTGCAAAGCTCTTCAGCTTCCGGGTGTTCTTCTTAGTTGCAAAATCGGGTGCCGGAGGGAGGTCGTCGAAGATCTCGACGACATCTTTGGTAGGGCCACAATTCATATATACTTTGTAGTTCTCTCGAATTACATCAGGTCCATGGGCATCTCCAGGACTCTGCGCGCCAGCCTTTGCTTGGACTAAGTATCGATAGATGTCATGCAACAAAAGTGCCAAACTATAGTAAACAAGTTTCCTCATGCCAAGACGGAGAGCCTTTTCAGTCGGGTTCTGGCGCTACGCCTCGTTGAAGATGAAAGTGAAGTGGACGCAATGTCACTGGTCGCTCAAGATGTAGTAGATCATGTCAGTGGTAATCAAACTCTTCAGGTATCGTACACCAGCATGGTATCCTTTCGTCATACCAGTTCTGAAGGATTGTGAGTTGATATGAAGAAGGGTCAGGGTCTTTGTAATTTCGACCGCCCGTTTAATAACTCCATCAGCACTTCATTTGACATGTGCACGAATGGCCATATTATAGACAACTTTATCGTTAGATCTCCGTGGTATCTATATTGATATAAGTATGTATGAGTTAAAGTTGAGGTTAGAGTACTTACTTATTGGTATCTTTGGGCAAGCATCGACCATTTCATGCTCTGGGACTTCATGAAACAGAAATTCAGCAGCGCGGGCTAGCTGAAGTGAATGGTGGGAAATGGAGATATTGTCATTTGGCTCAATCTTCAGTAAAGGGCTACCAATGGTAGGCTCCGTAGTGTTACTATCCAGATGTAGCTTCATGGGATGGTATGGCGGTGGTTTGGGGGTATTCTGAGCTGATGAGTATATCTTCATGTATTTGCATATCAACGACTTACGAGACCCATGGAAGCAGTCGATACCATAATGGGCACCTGCCATTGATCCCCCCTTGTGTTTACCAAGATCTGACGTGTATTGTCAAAATCGCCGGCATCACCATAAATAGGGACGAGGTGGTTGTTCATGACTCAGTCATGATGACTGTGAAGTTGCAATGCGTCTGTAAAGTTGTAATGCGTCTGTAAAGTTGTAATGCGTCTGCAAAGTTGTAATGCGTCACAATGCGTTGGTAAGAAAGATTGGAGTCTGAAGACGAAAGTTCAACAGAACTCTTGAGAAGGAATGTTTGTAAAAAGGAAAATATTGTTGTAGGAGGTAGCTTGTTTATATGTGTCGCTGAGAAACAGTTCGCTAAGAGTATCAAATTCACTTCAGAGTCAAATCCGACTCTAGATATGACAAGATTACAACTCTTGAGTTTTAAATCTAGTAACGCTGTTTCATTCTTTGTCACTGATCACCTTATCGCCGTTACTGCATTCATCATGGCCTTTACGATGCTGCGACTACACCGGACTCGCCAACTCCTCACGATCCGACTCGGCGCGAGTCGGTGGGCGTTAGAAATCGCCCCCGAGAACGCGAATTTAAAGACAGAAGCTATCCGTTTGAACGGAGAGTTGGAGGCTGTTGAACTGGAAATCGAATTTGAAAAGGAGGATCGTGAGCAGGATGGAAACAAGGATGCAGCACTCGACGACTAGGAGGATACTAAGGAGGATATACAACCCGCTGGGCCCGAACTCCCAGGCCCGCTACCAAAAGAGGAAGAGGAAGAGGAGGAGATCGATGTTCATAGAATGTACACTTACAAGATGTTCAGGCAATACTGAAAGATCCCCAGATATGGGACTTCCTGCGGCGAAAGTTTGCTGTCCTAGATATCAACAACTCACTTACGTCTCGTCAACTACCCGTCAAATGTGCCCAAAAGCTCTTAAAGGTGATCTATATTACTCGGCATGCATGCCTACAAGACGACATCAAAAGTCACATGGCGTCTACTACGATCCTACGCTTCCCATTCAGCCAAGCTGAATGGGCAGCAACTCTCAAGAACGAGCAGAAGCACCTCCACGAGAGGATGTTAAAGCTCGCACTCGTGGATGGTATCATGGCCCAACATTGGGCAAAGTCCAGCATATCCGAAACGTGCAGACAAAAGCACCGTGGAACAGAGGATGGAGATCTGGGGAAAGCTCGTCGACGAGGAGCCTATCTGAAGTGGGTGGTTGCACCCGTGGCAGAATGCGTGGACTGGGACGGAATCACGAGGGGGAGGACGGTGCACGACAGAACCATCCAATTATGGATGAAGGCCAGCATCATGATGGTTGCCGACACGGCATGGGTCGAGGGATGAGATGAGCGCGGCAAGGATGGCAAGAGGGCTGGGGGGGATGCGGGCGGGATATCGGTTAAACAGGAAATGGGAACAATTCCCAGATGACCCTACATGGGCAGCGCGGTTGGATGGCGTCCTTGTGCGCATCACACAAGACCTTCGGCCGGGATAAAGACGTCCAAGAAACTTGTCAGGGCGACGCTCGCGGAGGGGGAGGCTTGGACTGATCTGGCTTAGAAGGGGAGGCCGAATCGGCCCAAGCCTCCCGCCCGATTATGCAGGAACCTCGGGAGCACAATCGGAGCTACTGGGCAGCGCAGCAGCGCACCCAAGAAGAGAAAGAGAAAGAAGCCAGAGGAGATGACCGATGACCACGAGAGGAAGCGACGAAGGAGGAAGTGCCTAGCGGCTAAACACATCCTCCAGGAGGTAGAGGCTGGGAGGGTAGAGGAGGCATTGAAGTTGATGGGGAATAGGGATACAGTACTAGACAATAAGTATTAGCCGATCGTGAATTTAGACGGAACCAGAAAAATTAAGAACACGAACAATTAAATCCTATAACAACAAATTATATTAATTAACCTTACAAATAAGTATATAGTAGTAATAGGTATATATAAATCAATTGTACTCTCTAGAAAATAAATATCTACTCCTAATACTTCGTGTGCCATCCCTTTGCCTCGATGCATGCCTTGATCCGGTCTGGCATTGACCTAACGAGCGACTCAAAAAGAGAGTCGGGCAATTCATCCCAACACACTTTAAGTGCCTCCTCAAGTTCCGTACATATCTCATCTGTATTCATACAGCTTGTCATAAGATGCAGGTAATTCTCTGCCATAAGCTCTTTTAATGATTTCTATGCATGTTCAATCGGGTTGAGATCAGGTGAGTATGGCGGCTAATCAGTTGTTAAAATGTCGTAATTCTCAAACCATTTAACAACTTTTCCTACAGTATGGATTCTTGCATTATCTTGCATGAAAATAAGTCCTTCCTCGTAGTAAACCCGTCAATGTGCATTAAGAACTTCAAGATATGAGTTTATAGAGTATCTATGCTTCATAGACACAAAGTCTCAGTCTATAATATATAGAGGACACTGCTTTTTATCACCCCAAAATGCAGCCTATACCATGATTCTAATATCTTTACTAGATCTATAAGTTTTAACGAGTTCTGGCTTCCACTTGTCTTGTAGTAAGCCAAAACACTACACTTACTTTTTCCCGTTCCCTCGCTTAATAGAGCACTCATCTGTTACGACGGAACAAGAAGGCTGGCCAACTACAGGACAGGAAGGAGGGAGGTCGCATGAGACCGGCCCTGGTACCTGGAGGGGCAGCGGGGAATAGTAGTTCTGAAAGTATCACGTGACGGACTCGCAGGATGATGAGAAGAGTCCTAAGAGTCCAGGACTCCGAGGACTCGAGTGAGTTCCCAGGAGTCCACTAGGCACGTGATGGACTCGCAGGATGATGAGAAGAGTCCTAAGAGTCCAGGACTCCGAGGACTCGAGTGAGTTCCCAAGAGTCCACTAGGCACGACGCCACTATATAAGTAGATAGTATTTCCTTAGATAGGAGCTTCGTGCTCAACTCAATACAGTATTTGTTATATACTAGTAACGTGTTACTTGAAGCCTTTGTGTCTGATCCCCTGCCTCCTCTGATAAGTAAACCTTTACGCAAGAGAACCTCTGTGTCTTCTATCGTTTAGAAGTCAGCGTTACATCATCACTCCACATATATTTCTGCCATCTTTCTACATCCTAATGTGGACATACACCATAGAAGCCGATTTGCCGCATGTATCTTCGTGAGTTCTAGTCACTTTTTTGCTCGCTAATGTGCAAGTCTATTCTCTTTTACAATTGACTTTATCTTTCCATTGCTCATTTTTAGACCTGTGTCTTCGCGGCGTTGCTAGAATATGTGAGTTTTAGGTGTAGTCGCAAATTGCGAAGCATAGTTCGACAGCCCTGTATGCTATAGAGCAATGGCTAGCTAGATCGAGGGATTTTTTGAGTGCAATAGTGCCTCGTATAGCACCGCTGTAATGGTGGGTGCACCAGATGTGAGAATCTAGCCACCCAAGGAAGGGATGATTTTACTAAGACAACACACTGTCTTAGGAAAAAGAGCCAAAGGGTCATAGCTTAGACTATTCCACAATGCAGCAATTAGGTGTATGATGTAGTGGAGTGGTTTAGACAAGTTGTAACAAATGTTGAGTCTGAGAACTCAGGGATAAGTCAGAGGTTAGCACCTCACTGACTTTTCAGAAACAAGGAGTAACAAGATCAATGCTTGGAAGCTTGGAAAAGACGTGGAAGTATGTGATAGTCGATTTACTGTATTGTCTGCTTGCCCTTTCTTAAGGAAAGGGCAATCCTATTTATGCCAAAGGAGTGTAGTTCTCTCATTTTCCAAGACTTTCCATGACTAACCAGGCTTGGTAACTGTAGTCGACGTAAGAGAATCCCATAGAACCATCTCCTAGGTTCCTAGCCTATAGGAAGTGAAAGGAGGTCCAAGGTCAGAGTACCCCTATAGACAAATTCATAACTTAATCAATCTTGTGGGTAACTAAGGAGCGATGATGTGTAATGAACCATAGAGGGTTGTAGAAGCTTTTGGGGCTATCGTTCATGTTCCTAGGCATCTAGTTGGTAGAGATATGCCATGTGGTAGTATTGGCCCACCAATCGAAAATCCAGTCTCGTCCATGTTATACACGTTGTGTTCTTGTATTCCTAGACGCGCCACAAGGTCCTTGTACGTGTCAAACCACCCCGTTAAACATCTTTGGTAACCCCACTCATTCTTTGTGCTTCGACCCATCTGCCTAGTTGGATTTGTAGATGTGGATGTCGTTTTATAAAGCGTGGGACCCAATCTTGTCTGAGAGGAAAGTTCAGAATCTGTTCATGTTGCACATATTGGGCGGGTTGAGTGTTGAGGTGTGATGGTTCGAAAACGCGGCATCGGTTGACATGGATTTCATCAGCAATTCCCGCAATATACAGTGACTAATGCTACCTACCTGTAACGCTGACTTCTAAACGATAGAAGACACAGAGGTTCTCTTGCGTAAAGGTTTACTTATCAGAGGAGGCAGGGGATCAGACACAAAGGCTTCAAGTAACACGTTACTAGTATATAACAAATACTGTATTGAGTTGAGCACGAAGCTCCTATCTAAGGAAATACTATCTACTTATATAGTGGCGTCATGCTTAGTGGACTCCTGGGAACTCACTCGAGTCCTCAGAGTCCTGGACTCTTAGGATTCTTCTCATCATCCTGCGAGTCCGTCACGTGATACTTTCAGAACTACTATTCCCCGCTGCCCCTCCAGGTACCAGGTCCGGTCTCATGCGACCTCCCTCCTTCCTGTCCTGTAGTTGGCCAGCCTTCTTGTTCCGTCGTAACACTACCCCTATTCGACAGGATATTGATCCTACACCGCTCCGGCTCTAGCCTCTAGAATAAATGCTGCTACTAACAACGTCAATACTATTCACAAAGCTATTATATTCACAATTGATACTTAATAGTAATCCACCTACGGTTAAGATGACCTGCTTGCAACCAAACTGTTGATATTCACCTACTCTGTAACTATTAAGTCAAACTTCAACTAGTTGTTACAATCACTGCTTATGGCTGCTTATGGCTGCTTACAGCTGCTAGCGATTAGTGCAACAAGTACCTATAGTAGCCACTAAGGTTATAGGGAACTGCTAAGCGTACAGCTGTATATAATGAGGGATAGCCTTACTTACTTCCTTCCTTTCTTCTTCTTCTCTGTTATGGCTAAGTGCTAGTGCTATGGCTAGCGCTTACGGCTACAACCTCACGTGATGGATAACATTATATATTATGGATATTATGGATATTATGTTATCCATGTTATCCACAGGGATCCATAGGATATCAGGTGATGGATAACATTAGATATCATAGATATTATGTTATCTATGTTTTCTACAGATATCCCTTTAGCATGACGCCACTATATAAGTAGATAGTATTTCCTTAGATAGGAGCTTCGTGCTCGACTCAATATAGTATCCTTTACAATACTATAATGTGTTACTTGGAAAAGCCTTTGTGTTTAATCCCATGCCTCCTCTGTTAAGTCAACCTTACGCAAGAAACCTCTGTGTCTTCTATCGTTTATGTAAGGGCACAGGGAATACGGCTCTCTGTAGGTGCATGTGGGAGTGCGGGTCGGAGGTGATGCTGTATTCTATCCTAGAGGTCTACTACGAAGGATACAAAAAAGATGAAGGTATAACCCTCTGTTCCTGTTCCCTTAAATACCCGAAACCCCTCCGACTCTGCTAACTCCCTGTTTGCCTTAAGGTTTCCCTACGCTATGTGCCTCAGGCTCGCAGTTGCGATTGAACCGTAACGGCCCCGAGTCTCGAGGGCGCCACGTGACGACCGTAACTAACCCGAGTAAGGAGGCATCCTTACAGTTTAGAAGTTAGCGTTACACTAAGACGTCGCTAGAAAGAGAGTGTGAACGTAGGATTGCTACCATTAACACTATAATGGCATACTATGTTGTTAAGTGTCATACTGACATTCGTTGCACTCAGTTTGCTATCAAACTCAAGAGCAAACTTAGAAATCTCCTCCTCAAACCTACAAGTCACTATACATATTTTCGCTTGTCACACCAGCAACAAGAGCAATACTACTCAACAATTGCTACAACCCTCTATGATTCATTACACGTCATTGCTCCTTAGTTACTGGGCCGATATGACCACATAGCATATCTCTACAACCCTCTATGATTCATTACATGACATCACTCCTTAGTTACTGGGCTAATACTACACATGACATATCTCTATCAACTAGAGACCTACGAACATGAACGATAGCTCCAAAAGCTTCTACAACCATCTATGATTCATTACACGTCATCGCTCCTTAGTTACCCACAAGATTGGTTAAGTTATGACATAATTTGTCTATAGGGGTACTCTGACCTTGGACCTCCTTTTACTTCCTATGGGCTACGAACCTAGGAGATGGTTCTATGGGATTCTCTTACATCGACTACAGTTACCAAGCCTGGTTAGTCATGGAAAGTCTTGGGAAATGAGAGAACTACACTCCTTTGGCATAAATAGGATTGCCCTTTCCTTAAGAAAGGGCAAGCAGACAATACAGTAAATCGACTATCACATACTTCCACGTCTTTTCCAAGCTTCCAAGCATTGATCTTGTTACTCCTTGTTTCTGAAAAGTCAGTGAGGTGCTAACCTCTGACTTATCCCTGAGTTCTCAGACTCAACATTTGTTACAACTTGTCTAAACCACTCCACTACATCATACACCTAATTGCTGCATTGTGGAATAGTCTAAGCTATGACCCTTTGGCTCTTTTTCCTAAGACAGTGTGTTGTCTTAGTAAAATCATCCCTTCCTTGGGTGGCTAGATTCTCACATCTGGTGCACCCACCATTACATTAAGGAGGGGGTTACCTTCTGTTACTAAGGTTGCCCTTGTCAGCTAGGTAAGGAACTAATTTCTTAACTACAGTCAAATGCCGCTAAGACGATGTTCGCTTAGCAGATATATTCAATTGTGCGATATATTTTCTCGCACCGAATCAAAACACCATATATTGTCCGATATTCAAGATAATCGTCATTCTGCCTCCAATTATCGTATTATCCATCAACCAATGTGTGTTTCTTGACCTTCAGAATGCCTCGAAAGTAGCCTATTCTACTTGAACAATGCCGTGCCCTTCGTGCCTGGGCTCAGAAACAACATCAAAAGCCAACTCAAAAGCAGTGTATCAAATGGTTCCCCCAGCAATATAACCACAAACTTAGCCAGTCGACAGTCTCTGAGTCTCTCAGCCATCACTTTGACAGCCTTGACGAAGATCCTAATACCAACAGAGCACGATTACGAACTGGAAACTGGCCTGAAGTTGAAAAGCTTCTTCTTACTTGGCAACTTCGAATTGAGTCGAATGGAGGGTTTACAACTGGTGATCTACTTCAACAAAAGGTGCGACAAATCTGGGAACGCCTTCCACATAACGACAGCACAGTCTGCCCAGACTTCAGTGTAGGCTGGCTTCAACGATTTAAAGAACGACATAATATCAAAGTATAAATTCAACATGGAGAAGCAGGCTCAGTTCCAGAGTCTGCAGAAGATGAAATGAAGGCATTACGAACAATTGCAGGGAAATACTCGGAGAATCATATCTATAATATGGATGAATCAGGACTCTTTTGGAAGATGATGCCATCTCGAGGACTTGCTGCTCAATCTCAGGCTGGATTAAAGAAGGATAAGACTCGGATCAGTCTTGTATTTGGTGTCAACGCTTCTGGAACAGATAGACTTCCAGTCTGGATCATTGGAAAGGCAAAAACACTGCGAGCTTTACGAAATGTTAGTGTTTCAACAATGGGTGGTATATGGAGATGGAATAAGAAGGCTTGGATGAATACAACTATTATGGGCAAATGGCTTGAGGCGTTCTATCGACATATTGGCACTCGGGAAGTTCTCTTTACAATGGATAACTTTACAGCACATGCTGCTGCTCTTGAGCTTTACCCCTCCTTCAAATATTCATATTTGTAGCTACCAGCTAACAGTACCAGTCGATATCAGCCTCTTGATCAAGGTATCATTCAATCTTTCAAAGCTTATTATCGACGACAATGGCTTTCATATATGCTTGAAGCCTTTGACAACAATCAAAATCCTATGGATACAATGAATCTACACTTAGCTATTCGATGGATTGTACGAAGCTGGAACAACTTGGTTACAAACACAACAATCTACAACTGCTTTCTAAAATTAACACTTATTTCAATGCCAATCTCTCTTCCTACAACTATTACCCCTCTTGGAATCGGAGAGCTTTATGACAAGGTAATTAGAGCTGGGAACATACAAGATGTCATGGCAATATCAAACTTTCTAAACCCGGAGGAAGAAAAGGATATACAAGATGGGATGGAGGAATTGGGACCAGAAGAGGTTTTAAATGAGGTCTTAGAGGAGCATCTAGGCCAAGGGAGTACCCAAGATGATGACAAAGATGAGGAGCAGCTAGAGCACCCTGTATTTACTATACAGAGTGCTCGTCAAGCTCTACAAGTTCTGATTGGGTTTGCTCTAGGTCAAGATGCTCTCAAGGCAGAGCATTTACGAGGGTTGGAGCGTCTAGAGTCTATTCTTGATGCTTTAGATCAGGATAGCAGGATACAGTCATGGCTAGATGGGTGGATTATGCAAAATTCAGTATAGCGATATATCCTATAGTACGATATGATTTGTTGGCACCGAATACATTGTCTTAGCGGCATTTGACTGTACAATATTCCAGCTTGCCCGGAATACGCGTAACACACTATATATACTGTAACGGTCGCACTCTGGCACCCCGTTACATCTAAGCAGGACTTCATTAGTACATATGACTGAAAAGATGTTCATTTGTCACAACTTACTGAAAGAGATGATCACCTTATGGCTTACTTTCGATTGTGAATACACTGACACTGGGAGCAGCAGGTGCAAAGCCTATGATAAAGTCAGCAAGAAGGTTCAAGAATATTCTCTCAGATCACAAAATAAGATTACTTATGGCATGGCAGCAGAGAACACACATCTCTGGAACTAGTATATAGTTGGCCGCACTGGAGAGTATCTGAACGGTGGCAGAAACATTCCTTGGTATAACTGGCCCTTGAATTCGTACATAGCAAGCCTAAGCAATATTCCCGTGAGCACACTAGCGAATAACTCAAGCATAAAACCACCCTTGTTCCTGCTTTGCTGCTTTATGTCGCGGGAGAAGCAAAGGTAAGTGACGATGCCAGGGGAGGTGAGAAGGAGGAGAGAGGTTGGATAAAATTTTGGGTGGAGGGGAGGGTTAGAGATTGTATATGCGGGTAGTGGTTGAGCGAATTTGCAGCGAAGAATTCTGTTGAGCGACTAATAACGACGCGAGATGTCTAAATGCACCGAGAGGAGAAACAACGTCCAGAGTCTCCAGATACCCAAATATGCCGATGAGGGTGGAACAAGCCAGGCTCCGGCACGGGCTCTATAAATCGATAGACATACTACGACACGGGTTGCCCAGATGCACCAAACAGATGGGAAATACTGGGGCTACGATCGAGAAGTCTGTACGATAAACTCCTGTTAATAGGCATGGATACGACACCAGTCATTCATTCACCAAACCGAAAAGAACGAATGCTTGCAAGAGGAACTCGATTGATTAATTAAGTGCATCTAACACAGCAGAAGCGACGGCCAGAACCCACCAGCTCTCAAACATCCTGCAAAGAAGGAAAAGAAAGAAAAATCGAGCGCCAGATTTATTCCGATTTCGCTCGAGCGTCTCGACGGACGATACATATTATCCAAGCATCAATCCAGGCATCAATCAAAATACCACTCCATTACCCCCTATAACGCCACAACTCCAGTCTATTCCGCCTACACAACCAGAGGCACCCAAACTCCAGGACGCCACAATCTATATTACCCCCCGCCCAGAACCCAACACAACCATCAACACCACAAAAACACCACCGCCAAACACCTCACCACCCCCCTACCATTCATTCCTCCCCCTCTGCGACTGCAACCACGACCTCTCCAACTCCTCCCCCCAAGTCCCCTCCACATTCCTCGTCCTCTCACTCATCCTCACCCACTCCAACTGAATCCGACTCTCCGCCCACTCATTCGGCACCTGCCTCATACTAACCAACGCCATCCCCCTCGCCTCCTCCATCTGCCACTGATACCTCAACAGCTGCTTCCCCGGATCACTCTCCACCCTGCACGACATACACTTCGGCGGAACCTCCCACTCCCCCCCATTCCCCTTCCACGACGGCGGCGCCTCAGACGCCAGCGCAGGAATAACAGCGTGTCCGCACTCCTCGTGCACTGGCAAGCTCCTGCACAGCGGACACGTCTGCCCTAGCGCCTGATCCAACCACGCTAGTAGACATCTATGCCCAAACTTATGTCCGCACGGCAGCGAAGCCATCTTCTCGACCTTCCCAGCGTCCTCCCCCCCGCCAATGCGCGCGATCTCGGTGAACTCCTGGCAGATATCGCATTTGGGACCGGCGTTGGGATTGACTTTCTCCTCCTCGTCGGCTTCTTTGAGGAGCGAGGAGACTTCGATTTCGCGGACGGTGGAGGCGGGGACTTTGCTGCGGATGTCGGTGGAGGCGGCGAGTTCGCTGGCGCTGATCTCGATGGCGGCCTCGAGGGTGTCGTCGAAGGGGTCTGGCTCGTCGTCGGCGGGGGGCGAGGTGGGGGGGGTGTCTGCGATGCTGCGTCGATGCCGGGTTGGCGGGTTTCTGGTGCTGGTGCAGTGGCGGGCTCAGGCGGGGTTTGTTCTGATGGTTCATCTGGGGTGGCTGGGGGGTTACTGGGGGGAGTGATGACCTGCGCCGGTGCCGGTCTTTCGGACTGCACGGTATATCGACGTCGCTGCGCTGCTTGGGCGCGGCGTTTGAGGGAGGCTAGGGTGCGCTCTTTGGAGCCGTCGGTGTAGCGATGGAAGAAGTTGGTGCGGAAGAATTTCATGGTGGCGTGATGGTAGGTCGGTGGTGGTGGTGGTGGTGGTAGTATTATGTCTCTGAAAACGTTTCCAGAAATTATATATATATATATATTAAGATTGTGTAGTCAACGTGTGACGTTGTTTCAAAGCTTCTATGCCTTCCAGGTACCGTGGTGGGTGGATGGGGGTGAAAGAGCAGGTCAACGAGCAGCTGAGGAGTAGCAGGAGGAAAGAAGAAGAAAGAGGTAGGAAGGAGGAAAACACTTAAAAGAGAAAGAGTGGTATACAAACGATGCGTCGAGGGGCGTCGGGGAACCTCTCACCATCCCATCGTCACCTTACCCAGGAACCCGTACCATGGCACCCGCGCTCTTAGCACGCCGTTAGCAAGCTGTCAAGTACGCCCCTAGGCCCCGGGTTAAGTTCTAAAACCGCACGTTTCGAGGTCGGCGAGGTGTCATTTTTGGGCGACGTAGCCGCGTCATGGGGGGAGAGGGTGCACCATATCGCGACCCCGTGATACCACCCCCCTTCCATCGCTATCTTCGTCCACATTCTTAATATCCCCAGTATAGTACAATACATTCCATAATCTCAATATAATACATCTTAGACAATCGACACTCCCATACACTCCCACTTCCTCGCATCGTCAACAATATCCCGTTCCTGATAACCCCCTCCTCACGTACTCGCGCCAAGGTAGGTGAGTACGCGCGTGGATAAACTCCCTCGCTAAACCCGGGCACTAGCCGCGCCGGCGCGTGTCGTGACGTGCGCCTCATCCGACGCGGGGGCGTTTGACATGTCTCAGCCAACATGACGACTGTATGCGCGTGCGCAGGTACGATGGCATGGGGTGTGGTTGACTGAAATAATAGAAGGGGATGGGTAGATATAGTTGGTTTTGTATTTTGTAATTGGGCTAATAGATAAATATGGTCTGAGGTACCAGTGGGCAGTTATTTTTGGCTAACGTTGGTATTTATATTTATATTTATTATCAGTGTTATTGTTTTTTTTATATCACGGAATCAGTTGAATACTATTTATTTACCAAGGCATACCAGTATTGCCCGAGTACCACTCGTACTCGACTCGAAGAAATCTAAGCCAAGAGACGTAGACAGAATTATAGAATACTTGAATATTGCTGTGATACTTACCATCGTCAAGATGAGCGAGTCTTCGCTATCACCACCGCCCCTAGAGGAACCGTGCGAATATGAGAATGCCTCTTAAGATCCACTCTTGCCCCTACTACTTGTACGCATGCCTATATGGCCTTAAGACCAACTGTTACCAGGTTCTGACTCAATCCTCTTTGTAAAGGGTCTATACTCTCGTACTATTCTTGATAATGTGCCTTTAAGAATATCATTTAAGTGCTTGTAGCCACATTGCACATATACACCATCACAACCTACAAAGATGCAGACAACAAGTAATCTTTAGAAGCATTTAAAGATACAACATCTAGCAATACATACATAATATAAGAAAAAGCATGTTTAAGACAGAGATACACAGCTACATTCTTCTAGCCTCGCAAAGTACCTAGCCATGCACTAAATTCGTCAAAATTTAGAGAGCTTCTACTCTTATTTATTGTGTCTAATAACCTACCATTGCATACATCTAAGAGTCTATCCTTCCAGCAGCTTGTTAGCCATTTAAATCCAACAACACTTGTAATTAGACAGACGACAATTGCAAGAGACTTGCAACAGATATTTTGCATTTATAAAGCAAGGTTACAACTTGAATTACAGCAGCAAACTGCACAAGGTGGACGGATATCTTTAACAACTGATACTTGGTCTACATGCAACTATTCTAAATACGCTATAGTAACAGCACATTGGATCTCTAATAAGTGGCAGTTACGATGTACAGTCTTAGATGTTATTAAGCTATAAGAGCCAATCTATTCTAGTGAATATCTTGCAGGGCAGTTAATAGCTGTTACAGATGACTATGGTATTACTCCTGTAGTTTTTACTATCACTCGTGATAACGCTTCTGCAAACACTACCATGCTCTTATGTCATACTGACATTCGTTGCACTCAGTTTGCTATCAAACTCAAGAGCAAACTTAGAAATCTCCTCCTCAAACCTACAAGTCACCATACATATCTGGGCTTATCACACCAACAACAGAAGCAATACTACTCAACGATTGCTGAAAACTCTTCTACTACATCTGTTTATGCTACATACATCACGGCATATCATTTGGACACTCATTGAACAAGTTATTAAGAAAATCTCCTCCTTAAGGGGGTGGGCCAATACTACCACATGGCATATCTCTACCAACTAGAGGCCTAGGAACATGAACGATAGCTCTAGAAGCTTCTACAACCCTCTATGATTCATTACACGTCATCGCTCCTTAGTTACCCACAAGATTGGTTAAGTTATGACATAATTTGTCTATAGGTACTCTGACCTTGGACCTCCTTTTCACTTCCTATAGGCTAGGAACCCAAGAGATGGTTCTATGGGATTCTCTTACGTTCACTACATGATTAGCAAGCTAGTTGTGGGTCGCACTTGATTTCTAATACATTTACCAAGCCTGGTTAGTCATGGAAAGGCATGGAAAATAAGAGAACTACACTCCTTTGGCATAAATAGGATTGCCCTTTCCTTAAGAAAGGGCAAGCAGGCAATACAGTAAATCGACTATCACATACTTCCACGTCTTTTACAAGCTTCCAAGCATTGATCTTGTTATTCTCTGTTTTTGAAAAGTCAGTGAGGTGCTAACCTCTGACTTACCCCTGAGTTCTCAGACTCAACATTTGTTGCAACTTGTCTAAACCACTTCACCACATCACACACCTGATTGCTGCGTTGTGGAATAGTCTAAGCTACAACCCTTTGGCTCTGTTTCCTAAGACAGTGTGTTGTCTTAGTAAATTCATCCCTTCCTTGGGTGGCTAGATTCTCATATCTGGTGCACCCACCATTACATCAACATTTGTTGCAACTTGTCTAAACCACTTCACCACATCATACACCTGATTGCTGCGTTGTGGAATAGTCTAAGCTACAACCCTTTGGCTCTGTTTCCTAAGACAGTGTGTTGTCTTAGTAAATTCATCCCTTCCTTGGGTGGCTAGATTCTCATATCTGGTGCACCCACCATTACATCTTAGAATATGAGAACTTTTCAGTCGCGACTGACCCGTAACGGCCCCGAGTCTCGATGGCGCCACGTGATGGCCGTAACTACCCCGAGTAAGGAGGCATCCTTACACTACCCCCCGCCTTGAGAAGGTGCTTTGTCCTCAAAGCACGCAAGCCGAGTAGCTGCCGCGACGAGCCCTTGTTTGGGTTGGTGGGTGAGGTGCGGGCGCCAAGACTAGAATGCCCTTTGTTTGTCCAGAAGGCTGATGGTGGGCGGCCGTATAGGCACTGGAAGTGGTCTGAATCCGTTTGCGCAAAGTCGCGTCTTTGTTGTGTGCGCGGCGATTAGTGTTGCGAGGGTCCGTATTGGTATCGAATAGGGTCCGCGCGGTATGTGTCGAGGGGGAAATTTCGCGCTAACCCGATTCGGATGGCTTTGTTATAAGCCAGAATATGAATTCGAGCTTCGCCCAGAACTTGTTGTTTTCTTCACAACAACGACGCTGAGCCCCCCTCCCGAGACTGGTAAGTGGCCCTTCCGATGGTACAGCTGGATGCTAACAGGTTGTTTTTAGATACAAAAACACAACGAACGATTTGGTAGGTGACGGAACCGCGCTGGCGCGGTGGTGATAACTTGGGTTGGGCTGACGGGAAATCGCAGATTTCCAATTTGAAGATGCCGGTTCCCCCTCCTCCCGGCGCCCTCACTGTGGCTTTCCGCCAGCAGTGTATGCACTGCGTGCGCGCCAAAGGGCGCAAGAAGGACGGAGATCCCGCCGTCTCGTGTGTGTGGAGCTTGGAAAGCTCCAAGTGTGAGCGCTGCGTGGCCCAACACGCAACGTGTGTTCCGGTGGGTTCTCGTTTGGTTTTCGGTTTTGTGGTTTGTCTGTCTGCCCGTCGCTGACCTCTGGAGATAGATCTCCTGGTTTGCTGGCCCGGAGTACCAGAAGCTCCTGGCTACCGAGGCAGCAACCCCTCCCGTCCCCGCCGCCATCAAGGCCGCTGCGGCGGAGATTGGGCGTGTGGTCACATTGGCCACCGCCAATATGCCGAAGTTCCGCTCCCCGGCCGAGCTTTCGGCCTATATGGAGAGTTGCGCCCTCCGCGCCGCCGTCGAGGACGGTCTGGAGGTAAGTTTTCCGTTTCCCTTGTGTGTTTTTGGTTCTCGCGCTGACGACCGTAGCGGGTCCGCCAGGCCGTGGCCGTCGTGGGCCAGAAATCGGCCCTGATCCTGGTGAACCAGGAGAAGGAGATCGCTGCCCTTGATGGGGTGGCTTCTGTGGTGGATGCGGTGGGGGAGTTGGTGGAGAGGATCCCCGACGTCCTCGCCGCGGCGGCGAAGGTGGGCGGTGGTGGGGGGAAGAAGAGGAAGAGGGGGGCGGAGGTGGAGGAGGAGGGGGTGACCGTCGACCTTGGGTGATAGGCCCTGTGTCGGAGGGAACTCGGGCGTGGTCTTTCGCGTGGGGTCACTTCGACCCTTCGTCTCTCATGGTGGTAGCCGCTTGTTGCGACGCCGGTGAGACGTTTGGGAAGGGTGGCTTCCGCAAGGGCTACGGCTCTGAGGGTGCCCTGGCTTAGAGGGTGTTTAGTTTAGTGTCGTAGGTAGCAACGACGCTGTTTTCCTCTGCTTTGCCGTGCCTCTCGTGATCGTAGCTTGGTTTGCCTGTCTCCCATTCCGTGATCCAGCCGGGTAGGTCCTGCGGCGGTCCTGGCAGGTTTGGGTACTCCGCGTGGAACTCCTGGATTTTGTAGGGGGAGTTCTTAAAGTTTGAGGCGGGGTACCATTCCGGGTCCGGATCGTATCCGACCCAGGATACCTGGTATTGAAGTTGTTTTCGCCGGATCCTTACGGCGAGGATCTTTTCGACCTCCCACTCCTCTAGGCCGTCTACGACTTCGCTGCTTGGCTCAGGCGCTGCTTGACCGGGCAGCGGGTTATTCGGAGCCTTGATGAGTACGTCTGGAGAGAAGACATCGTGTATTTGGGAACCCTTCGGTAGGTCTAGTCGGAAGGCGTGTCCGATTTGTTCCAGTACCGTATAGGGTCCGACCCATTGTTGCCCCAGCTTACGGCTAGGGCGGTGATTTTTCAGATTCTTGGTCGATAGGTAAACCTTGTCTCCTACGTCCCAGTCAATGGCTCGTCGGCGTCGATTCGCGTATTTAGACATATCCTCTTGTGCTTTGGCCATGTTCTCCTTTGCGTAAATCCATGCGGAGTGCATGCGGTTTGCTACTGCTTTGGCTTCCTTCTGGTTCATGACTTCCCTAGGGGTCGTGGCTTTCGGGGTTTCCCAGTCCCAACTGGTGCGCGGATCAGTTCCGTACTTGAGTCGGTAGGGGGTCATTCCGATCGAGGCATGGGGAAGGGTCATTTGCACCCGATCCATGATGGGAATGAGCTCGCTCCAGTTATCCTGGTAATGTGATACGAAGGGCCTCAGTCTCTGATCGATATACCTATTCATGATTTCCGTCTGCCCGTCGGTCTGCTTGTGATAGGCTGTCGACAGCTTAATCTTGACCCCTATGATTTGGCAG